CTTTACAGCTGAAATAAATAAGTATCACAATATAAATATCGAATTTATATTACTTACTTACTTACACCTGTTACCCCCAATGGAGCATAGGCCGACCACCAGTTTTCTCCAACCAACTCTGTCCTGGGTTTCCCTCTCCAGTTCTGTCCCATGTTTGTTCATTCCTCTCATATCTTTCTATATTTGTCGGCGTAACGTGTTCCTTGGCGTTCCTCTTTTCCTTTTTGCCCTGAGGGTTCCATGTGAGGGATTGTCTTGTGACGCAGTTAGGTGCTTTTCGCAATTTATGTCTTATCCACTTCCAGTACCTCTTCCTGATTTCCCCCTCTACTAGAATCTGGTTTGTTCTCTCCCACAGTACGTCGGTGCTCATCGTCTCTGGCCAACGGATCACAAGTATTTCGCGTAGACAACTGTTAGTGAATACTTGTATCTTCTGGATGATGGCTTTGGTAGTTCTCCAAGTTTCCGCTCCATACAGAAGAATTATCTTGACATTTATATTGAAAATCCTGATTTTGGTGCCGATTTATAGTTATCTTGAGTACCTGATATTCTATAGACGTAGAAATGCAAACCTTGCCTCGCCGATCGGCGCCCTCACATCTGTATCGGATCCACCCTGGTTGTCGATGATGCTGCCCAGATATGTAGGTTGTTAACGTTCTCCAAGGCATCTCCATCAAGAGTGATTTGGTTGCTGCATGTTGTGTTGCATCGGAGAATTTCGCTTTTACCTTTATGAATGTTGAGACCTGCTGCTGCGGAGACAGCTGCTACACTGGTCGTCTTCTCTTGCATTTGTTGTTGCGTGTGCGATAGAACAGCCAGTTCATCTGCGAAGTCAAGGTCATCCATCTACATCCTAGCTGTCCGTTGTATACCGTGCTTCCCTCCAGATGTTGACTTCTTCATAATCCAGTCGATCACCCGGAGAAAGAGGAAGGATGAGAATAAGCAACCTTGCCTGACACCGGTCTTCACCTCAAAAGAGTCATTTAGCTGTCCTTCGTGTACGATTTCGCAGTTGAATCCATCATAAGAATTCCGTATGATGTTAACTATTTTCTCAGGCACACCGTAGTGTCGAAGAAGCCTCCACAGTGTTTTCCTATCCACGCTATCGAATGCTTTCTCGTAGTCGATGAAGTTGATGTAGAGTGGCGAGTTCCATTCAATTGATTGTTCCACAATGATCCGTAATGTAGCAATTTGATCAGTACACGATCGATCCTTACGAAATCTGACCTGTTGATCTCGAAGTTGGGCGTCTACGAAATCCTTCATTCTGTTTAACAATACCCTGTTGAAGACTTTGCTTGTTATTGAGAGAAGAGTGATGCTTCTATAGTTATCACACTTGCTAAGATCGCCTTTCTTTGGTATTTTGATCAAGTATCCTACTTTTCAATCTGATGGTACTTGTTCCTAATCCCAAATCTTCTTGAAGAGGATGTGAAATATATTTGCAGTTGCTTCCACAACTGCTTTCATTGCCTCTGCTGAAATGTTGTCTTGTCCTACTGATTTGCCACTCTTGATTTGTCTGATGGCCATACTGATCTCTTCAATTGTAGGTGCGCCAATATTAATTCGGAGGTATCGAATTTATATTCCTTAAAAGAAATCCGTTCTTCTCAGCGTGATCAAGTTATGAACTATTCCTACGATTTCACTATAAAATGTTTATTGCAAGAATAGTTTTGTTGAAAAAAGTCTTGTTTTTGATAACCAAGAAGATAATGTCAACTACAATTTAACGGAAAGTGATTTTACCGTGAGTCAAGATTGGTTTATGGGTGTTTGTTGGGGACGTTAGGTCCCCGAAACTCACTTGGAAAAGGTTCTAATTTTGGATTTTATTCATGGGCTGATCAGTTGACCTTGAGATTACATTTTTCACTCTGAAAATCCATGACAGTCATTGGTTGATGTATAATTTTAGTACGCTATTTTCGTGGCTCTCCGAAGGACGTTTCTATCAAGTATAAATAAATTCCATTTGTGTGTTTGTCGACCTCATTTTTTTTGGGTGCTTGTAGAATACACTTTCTACGTCTTGTCAAGACTTCTTATTCTACTTAATAGGGCCTTGTAACGCTCGGATCCGAGTAGCCTATCGTGTCACTGGATCATTTGTCTTCGCTCTCGTTTACCGACTAAGGTGAACTCGTAATAGCATTCAAGCATATCAATTGGCGAGCCAAGCAGTGTTTACCGGTTTGTATTTGTGTAAAATCCCAACGGACTTTGTATGCTCGCTTAGAATTCATTGTTATAAAATGAATAGGATTAAAACTTCACACAAAACGTCTAACGCGATATGTTTTATGGATCCGCATATTTTAGTGTTGCGTCAACTTCGTACGATGCTTTTCATGATCATTCAGTTAAATTTCGAATCATGAATATACGACTCCTGGATGATACTTCTTCTTATTATATATTTAACGATCATATATTCTCCGATTAATTATCAATATTATCGTAGGATATCAAGTTATATACCGATAATTTTTGAAATGTGCAGCTCAGGACTTAACTCTTTATCTTCAAACCAATGAAAAATGGCTGAATTACATTAACCCATGGAAACGAACATAGAGCAAACGATTGGTTGAACGATCAACAAATAGCGTCGTCATCTTGCATTAATATCACGCTTAAATGCAAAATATAGCCCATAAAAAAATCAAAAAGATTCGAGGTTACTTTAATGTTAATAGATTTAAGTGTAAGCGCTTGCTGTGAAACTTTAAATTTGTATTCGATTTCTAGTGTTGATGTAGATTCTCAGCAATGAGGAGACAGGTTCAAACATTTATCCGGTGCTCTTTGGTTGCTAGATAATTCCTGATTTAAAACCTCTGATTCAACAATTTTCTTAGCACTTTTATAGGGCCTAACCATTAGGTTCATTTATTTGCAACCAACTAATTAAGAAACGAACTTGGTTTCTGTTTTGATAAATGAAGATTTATTTATTAAAAAAATAAATTACTTTTCTATTTGCATCTTCTACCCTTCATGGAAGATTGACCGATGACCAGAATTCTTCAACAAACTCTGTCCTTCTCTTTTCTTTTCAGTTGATACTAAGTCCCATTCATCATTCTGATGTCTACCTCCAAATCCCAAAACAATTTGTTCTTTGATCAGCCTCTTCATCTTTTGGCTTGTGAATTCCAGGTGAGGACTTGTCTTGCAACGCAGTTGGGTGATTTCCACAAATTAAGTCCTACCTATCTCCATCGTTTTTCTCTGATTTCTTTTTCAGCTGCAAGCTGACCTGTTCTCTGCTATAGTGGGTTCTTGCTGATGTTGTCTGGCCACAGGTATCTTGTGTAGATAGCTGTTTTTAAATACCTCTATTTTCTGAATGATGGCTTTCGTAGTTCTCCAAACTCCTGTTCAATACAATAGGACTGTATTGAAAATCCTGACTTTGCTAGTGGCTGAAAGATCTTTTGATTTAAAAATGTTTCCCTTACTTTGCTAACACATGTCTTCACGTTCTCATGAGATCCCTCGTGTTTATCAGTCATGCTGATTAGGTATAAATATTTCTACATCTTCCAAAGGTACTCTACCAAGCGTGACTCGGTTGGCGCATGCTGTATTGTGTGGGAGTATTTATTTTCCTTTGTGCATGTTGAGACCTACTATGGCTACGCTAGCCATTTTTATTTCTGTTTTTTTCTGTATGTGAAGTAGGACAGGTAAGTCATCTGCGAAGTCCAAATCGTGTAGCTGCATCGGAGCAGTCGGCTGTATCCCATTCTTCCTCTGAGATGTTGAGGTGTTCATAAAACTGTCAACCATCAAAAGAGAAAGGATGAGAGTAAGAAACCTAGTTTAACACCGATTTTCGCTAGAAATGTGTTAGGGAATCTAGATTCTCATAAATCGCTTGGTAAACTCCTTGTCCCAGAAACAACCGGACCTTTGTCTCAGATCACATCGACAATAGCGACAAACTATCAAGATGTAGGTAAGCCCTATGAATATACTCAACTAAAAGGGAAGGTTTGGAACACTAGATCCCAAGGAACCTCCTGGTAAACCTCCTGATTCTGAAATTTACGTCTGGAAATTTGGATTCCTTATTTTCGCACCAAAAGACATCTTGTATTACCTTCAGTCTGTATCTCTCAGTTGAAGGATCTTTAAGCTTCATTTTTAGTGTTCTGTTTTAGTGCGTTGTTTTTTAATTCTATGAAGGACACTTTCTGTACCGCATAGATTTGCGAATCTTTCACCGTTCTCATTCCCCTCTCCCAGTCTATGTTGCCTTATGATGTCTTCATAACAGTTATTTTCTATTCCGACCTTGGCATTTAGTATTCCTATCAGAATGACCAAATCCTTTATTGAGCATTTCTCAACGATTGACTGAAGCCTCACATAGAATTGACCTTTATCATCTTCATTATTATCATTGGAAGACGCATTCTACTGAATGACATTCAACGTTTTCCCCCTTTTCTTTGTTTTGAAGGATGATCTGATTATAATGGGTCCATGATATTTCCATCCTACAAGTGCTTCTTTGACTTCTTTGTAAATCATAAATGCCACTCCATATATATATATATATATATATATATATATATATATATATATATATTCCGCTTCATAGATGAAGTACAACGACCTCTCTCTTAAATCTCATATTTTTATGTCCAATTCGCATTTAACGACTTTTGTTTATTTCAAGTACTTCCAGGCTGCTACAATCTGAATGGTTCTATCAATCAATCTCTCACATTGTGATAACATGCATCATCTTTATGACTCCCAAAGAACTACTACTTTCACTTTGAAAGAGTTATAACTAGTCCAAATCAAAACTTTTCAACTATCGCAGTAAAGTTTAAATTGTTTAAAAAAAGACATTGTTTTGTATTAAAAAAATAATAATGATAATTTATAAAATGAAAATGTACAAATGTAACTGATTAAAATTATCTGACAATAAATCTTGTCATAATAAAAAAATACACTTTTATAATTACATATGATCAAATTATTATCATCTATTAAAAATGAGCATACTATTCAAAAATAGTTGCTTTTATACAAATTTTTCTCTTCCAAAGAAAAAAAAATCTAATCAATTGTACAAGGTTAACACAACCTAAAATCGATAATAGTTGCGTCAGTCTTTGATTGAGATCATGATAATATAGTCTAGAAAGAAAGAAGGGGAAAAAAGCGTTGAGAAATTATTTTGGAATTAAAACATTGAAGGGTGTAAAAAAAGGTAAGTGGTGCGTTCTACACACACACTCTCTCTCTCCCCGAAAAAACCAATTCATATGAAAATTTAAACTTATTGAATGATCAAGTAAAAAATAATTAATCAATCATTGTTAGACCACCATTAGAAACCTGAAGGCACTGAAGGACGGCCGTTTCGTCCTGATATGGGACTACTCATCAGCAGTGCGCATCTACGACTTCTACACCTCACAGGATTCGAACCTGGGACATTCGGTATTGTGCGCGAACGCCTAACCATTGGACCACTGGGCTGGCATCCAACGGTGTTAATATCTACTCTGACTGATCTAGGGATTTTGCGCGACCTCACCCATTTGTCTTCGGTAGTTACTGCCTACACCCTACTGGGTTGAACTCCATTGGTCACGTCACGCGCATAAGACCGGAGGTCCCGGGTTCGAATCCTGCGAGGAGCAGGAGTCGTGGATGCGCACTGCCACTGATGAGTCCCAGACCAGGACGAAACGGCCGTCTCTCAGTGTTTCCAGGTTTCTAATGTTGGTGGTCTAACAATGATTGATTGATGATTTCAAATGTGTAAAAACACAAACCTCCAAAACTCTGCCCCAAGGTAAAAGGTGTAATTGTTTTCCAAACAGAAAAAAAATAGACAACTTACCCAGTCATTTTATTATATGCCACTTGAATTACGCACTAATATACCTGTGTATAAAGTAACGATAAGAAATTAATGAGATGAGTTTATTTTTTCTTTTTAATTAGAAAATAAATAATTGTGATTGTTTCTCACTTAACTGAATAAACTAGTTTTACATTGTAAACAACGTGAAATGATGCTGTGACATGACCAGTGCATACGATGATGAAAAATAATGGTACTCTATAGGTTGAAAGGAACATTGAAGACAATGAATATCGCGTGCTTAGCTAACGATTTTTAGTAAATGTTGTTAGAAATTAATTATCAGAAAATGAAATACTAATAGCATATTAATAATATTGTTGTAACGCTTGTTTGAATTATTTCCAGCTAATTCCTATTGCTTAGTATTCTCTGACCACAATACACTGGACAAGTTCCAAAGAATCAAAAAAACACGGTGGAACAGGAAAAGATTATATTCCAAATAGCAAGATTAATGGAAATATGAAGCCGAAAGCGAAGGCGAGGGGAAAATAGATACAACGTTAGTTTCTTTATAGTAGTTACATGAGAAGCTTATGGATTGTAATTCACGTGATCGACTGGATTAGATTTAGCCAATCAGCATGCAGCTGACAACACGAGAATTTTCTACCCTGTTCTCCAAGATCGATCAGGCACTGATTGGATAGGAGATTAGCCAATCAGCGCGCAGCAACGTAGTCATGCTTTAATTCCATCTATGTCCCACTAACAAATATGAACCAGTTCGTACATGATATTCAATGAATCCGAAGATAACTGAGATGATTCTTGCTTTCTACTAAAAAATGGTGCTTACAATATAAAGCAATAACAATAGGCTACCTAAACATGATAATCGGTTACTTTCAATCATAAAACTCCAAAAAATACTAGTTATATTCAGTCACTGATTTCAATAACTGGTAAATACAAATCTCTGCTATTTACATAATTAGTAATATTCAATAGTGACGAAGTTTTTCATTTTATTCACTTGAGGTTACAATGAATAAAACTGAATGATGCAGGCTGATTTGAAAATAGACGAAATCTATTATTGTTGAGTATAAACAGTGTTAGAGACTGACTGAATAAACGTGGAATTGAATAAACACGTATATATATATATATATATATATATATATATATATATATATATATATATGTCAAGAAACTCCGCCAGTAGAACCTTAGGGGCTACTGCCGGTCCCAAGCCCGGGTAAAGGAGGAGGGTTGGACATGGGGTTGGCGACCCCATCCCGTTGAAATCTCACTTGCCAAAAAAACGCTAACCAGAAAAAATAATTCAAACCATTTTAACTCTGCCCTGGGAGTTGGAAGAAGAATTATGACGTCTCGTGATGAAAGCCGAGTTCCCTCGGAAGTCACGGGGCCGATGCCTCTTCTCACAACCAGAGCAACCATTCTATTAGGTACATGGAACGTTCGTACATTGTGGGAGACTGGAAGACTATTTCAGGTTGCTGTAGAAATGAAAAGATACAACCTCGAGGTGCTCGGCATCAGTGAAACGCATTGGACACAGTTAGGACAACTGAGACTTGCTTCAGGGGAACTGCTGTTATACTCTGGTCATGAAGAGGAAAACGCTTCACATACACAAGGAGTTGCACTGATGCTGTCCAAACATTCACAAAAGGCACTGATAGGATGGGAAACTCATGGACCGAGGATCATTAAAGCATCCTTCAAAATAAAGAAGGCGGACATTACAATGAACGTCATCCAATGTTATGCACCTACCAATGACTACAATGACGACGTTAAAGATCAATTCTACGAAAGGCTGCAGTCAATCGTCGATAAATGTTCACCAAAGGATTTGACGATTCTTATGGGAGACCTGAATGCCAAGGTTGGAATGGACAACACTGGATATGAAGACATCATGGGACGACATGGACTGGGAGAAAGGAACGAAAACGGTGAGAGATTTGCAAACCTATGTGCCTTCAACAAACTGGGCATCGGTGGCACAATATTCCCACACAAACGCAATCACAAAGCCACATGGATTTCACCGGATCACACTACTCAAAACCAGATTGACCATATCTGTATCAACAAAAAGTTCAGAAGGACCATGGAGGATGTGAGAACCAAGAGAGGAGCTGATATAGCTTCAGACCACCACTTGCTGATCGCCAAGATGAAACTGAAGCTAAAGAAGCACTGGACGACGGGGCAAACAACATCACAGAAGTTTAATACGGCCTTTCTTCGGGATACCGTAAAACTCAACGAATTCAAGATAGCCCTTACCAATAGGTTCCAGGCCTTTCAGGATCTACTCAATGGAGAGGAAGCAACATTGGAGTACAATTGGAAAGGGATTAAGGAGGCAATCACTTCAACATGTCACGAAGTTCTGGGTCACAAGAAGTACCATCACAAGGAATGGATCTCTGTTGATACTCTTGCAAAAATTGAAGAAAGGAGGAACAAGAAGGCAGCAGTGAATGTCAGCCGAACAAGAGCAGAGAAAGTTAAGGTGCAAGCCGAGTATACAGAAGCAAACAGGGAAGTGAAGAAGAGCATCAGAGCTGACAAACGAAAATATGTGGAAGATCTAGCAATGACGGCGGAAAAGGCTGCAAGAGACGGAAACTTGAGACAATTGTACGAAACAACAAAGAAGCTCGCAGGGAACTATCGTAAACCAGAACGACCAGTGAAAAGCAAGGAAGGGAAAATAATCAGCAACACTGACGAACAGCGAAATAGGTGGGTAGAGCACTTTAAGGAACTATTGAATCGACCAGCTCCACTGAACACACCCAACATCGAAGCGGCATCCACGGACCTCCCAATTAATATTGGCGCACCTACGATTGAGGAGATCAGTATGGCCATCAGACAAATCAAGAGTGGCAAATAAGTAGGACCAGACAACATTTCAGCAGAGGCAATGAAAGCAGATGTGGAAGCAACTGAGAAAATATTTTACATCCTATTCAAGAAGATTTGGGATGAGGAACAAGTACCATCAGATTGGAAAGAAGAATACCTGATCAAAATACCAAAGAAAGGCGACCTGAGCAAGTGTGAGAACTACAGAGGCATCACTCTTCTTTCAATACCAGGCAAAGTCTTCAACAGGGTATTGTTAAACAGAATGAAGGACTTCGTAGACGCTCAACTTCGAGATCAACAGGCCGGATTTCGTAAGGATCGATCATGTACTGATCAAATCGCTACATTACGGATCATTGTGGAACAGTCAATTGAATGGAACTCACCACTCTACATCAACTTCATCGACTACGAGAAAGCATTTGATAGCGTGGATAGGAAAACACTGTGGAGGCTTCTTCGACACTACAGTGTGCCTGAGAAAATAGTCAACATCATACGGAATTCTTATGATGGATTCAACTGCGAAATCGTACACGAAGGACAGCTAAATGACTCTTTCGAGGTGAAGACCGGTGTCAGACAATGTTGCTTACTCTCACCCCTTCTCTTTCTCCTGGTGATCGACTGGATTATGAAGACGTCAACATCTGGAGGGAAGCACGGCATCAACTGGACAGTTAGGACGCGGCTGGACGATCTGGACTTCGAAGATGACTTGGCTCTTCTATCGCACACGCAACAACAAATGCAAGAGAAGACGACCAGTGTAGCAGCTGTCTCCGCAGCAGTAGGTCTCAACATTCATAAAGGAAAAAGCGAAATTCTCCGATGCAACACAACATGCACCAACCAAATCACGCTTGATGGAGATGCTTTCGAGGACGTTAACAACTTTACATATCTGGGCAGCATCATCGACAATCAAGGTGGATCCGATGTGGATGTGAGGGCGCGGATTGGCAAAGCGAGGGCTGCATTACTACAGTTGAAAAATATCTGGAACTCCAAACAACTCTCAAACAAAACCAAATTCAGGATTTTCAATACAAATGTGAAGACAGTTCTACTGTATGGAGCGGAAACATGGAGAACTACGAAAGGCATCATCCAGAAGATACAGGTATTTATTAACAGTTGTCTACGCAAAATACTTCGTATTCGTTGGCCAGACACCATCAGCAACAACGTACTGTGGGAGAGAACAAGTCAGATTCCAGTGGAGGAGGAAATCAGGAAGAAGCGGTGGAAGTGGATAGGACACACACTACGAAAAGCACCTAACTGCGTCACGAGACAAGCCCTCACATGGAACCTTCAAGGCAAAAGGAAAAGAGGAAGGCCAAGGAACACACTACGCCGAGAAATATAGAAAGATATGAGAGGAATGAACAAACATTGGACAGAATTGGAGAGGGAAGCCCAGGACAGAGTTGGTTGGAGAAAACTGGTGAGCGGCCTATGCTCCATTGGGGGTAACAGGCGTAAGTAAGTAAGTATATATGTCAAGAATAAAGGATTTGATAAACGAGATATTATTCACTAATCAGCGATCAATAATCAGTAATAATAACTAGTTGTCTTACAAATAGCTTAGTCGTATCATTTTAAACTATGAGTCTCAGTGTATAAGGTGTTTAAATCTACTAAGTAGTATCAGTTCCTCAAACATGACAGCTGCGTGATACTGATGAGTGTCAACCTCCAACCATTTAACACAGCACTGTTCAGTGAATTTGGATAAATTAAAAGTGACTTTCAACTTAATTCGACGTTTGTATTAGATTGATTACACGTAACTCGTCTTTTCTGTGCTCCCAGTTACTTAGTTGACCTTTAATTCGTAAATTTTGGTCACGCGGTTTAAAACATCAAAAAAGAAAACTAGAAAAGATTGAAGAATCCATTTTCTCAGTTCATTTTTAGTGTATGTGTAAAAAAATAGTCTTTTTGCCAGTGTTATTTTCTCATTTACATATAAAAATCTTCTTGTAATCTTCTTGTTCACATGACTGATCAGTTGACAATTAATGAAAACACTTTCAATGCTACCTAATTTCTTTTCTCTATCTACAAGTAATGGAATTATGCAGAACGTTTTCTCTGTTTAATTTTAATTACTTTACAGAAACATTTATATAAAGCAGGTAGAACGTGGCTAATAGTGGAAACCAGAACAGGTGTTTATTCCAATTTAGCACTCATTATCAGCTGAATATGATTGCATCTAAGAGTAGACGTTCACTCCGAAACTCGAACCCAGCAGGACTCTCTTCGAAGGCTACTGCTTTACTCACTTAGCCGCCAACTTGTGTCACAGGTATGAAATTAAATTCAATTTGAAATGGTTTGGATTACCCTTTCGTTGATATTTTGACTGAAGTTCTATCAGTCTGTTTAGCATATATATCTTGTAAGATAGCCTTGTAAGATAGAACAAATAGAACGTGCCTATCAGTGCAGTATCATAATGGCTATATCGAGACAAAAACTGCAGACGGTACAGATATTCTAACCAAGACTGATCATATTTCAGTCAGAGTATCAATAACTGAATAATTCAAACTATTTCAAATTGAATTAAACTATAAACGCTTAAGGGTTGAATTGTGGTGTGTGCTACTTATACGAACGATATAAGTAGTAACAGAAGGGATGTGAAAGAAGTCTCATGGTCAGAAGAGGAAAACGGAAAGCAAATGCAGCAAAAGCAAGAAGTAAATGGAGTACCGACAGGAAGTAAAGGAAGCAACAACAGGAATGCAAGAAGGCTGGAGTGTTGGAAGCCACGACTCAAAGATGGTGTGCAAATAGAGTGTTCAATGTAATGTTTTCGTTTTTAATTGACTAAGAGTGTAAAATAGCATAATACAATCTTCCACGCCTGCCTCAGACTTCTCGGAATTACCTTCAGAAAATATATTCGAATGGTGGCTATATTAATAAAACACTAACCAATCGGTCATTGAATAAAATGAGTTGAAAGTGTACTCCTTCCAATCGTTTCTCAACAGTTAAATGAGATAAAAAACTAAAGCGCAGTTTATGCGAAACACCCCCCATTTAACTGAAATTTAGATTTCCGCTCTAGATAGCACCTAATTCTCGAATGTTTTGAAAATGATATCTTACTTCAAGCTGTCTTAATACTGATATATATATAGGAGGTTGAACTGTCCAATCTTTTTATATGAATTAAAACTGCTCTTAACTCAATAAAATCGATATAAATAAACAATTATGAATAGCAATTTAACTGATGTATTTTGTAAATCATGTGAAACTTAGTATTTAAGGCATTCTTTGCATAGAAGACATTTGAATACTGACACAATCTCTAATTATTACATGATCAGAGAGAGATGTAGTAATGTTTTTTTTAAAACTACAAAATACCATCAGTAGTTAAAGGTATTTGTGAGCATCACTGAGTTTTATAGTCCGCATTACCGATTGATCTTAGTTAGTTAAATAACTGTTGAAATACAGGAAACAATGAATCACTGTTTCATCCTCTTATGGGAATTCTTAGTGGTGTTCACTCGCCATCCAACAACGAATTAAAATTTAATTAATAAATGATTATAAGTTGACTAAGAAATACAGAGATTTATCCATATCTAACGATTTCGATTAAACTTACTTCCACTTCAAAATAACCTGATATAGGTTTATGATCACTGCATACATAATTTGGATGTGATCTATAGACAATTGGTGCACAACCACGACCATACCATATAATACGATCACAATAAGCAGGAATACGATATTTTTCACTGAGAAAAATGAAAACACAATCGCATATTAAATTGTAAATAGATTATTGGAAATAAATGATTAGATTATGTGAGAGATGTTTTATTGTTGTTTCTTGAATTCAGTGTTTCATGACTTCATTTTTTAACGGATGTATTAACGATCTATTGGAGACATATACTGATGGTATTTTGCAGATACATGAAATGACATCTACAACTGAATTGAAATGAGCAACTTGCATTTTCCATAGTTTGTGATGTAGGCTAAACTGAATTTTTTTTAGAAATTCCCAGAAGTTTGAAAGCAATCGAACTAATAACCATCATCCTTACTGGACTTTAGTTTAGAATTTTGAAAAAATTCCTAACATTTTAATTTACTTATCAATAGTTAGAATATAAATCCACTGTTGAACTGTTTGTCTCATGGATTGCATTCATGAGTAGAAGCTAATAAATAGTTCAAATAAGATTTGTGGATAATTCCTTTTATTCAAATATCATGAAATTATATTATCTGCACGTCACATAGATTTACTTTCAACACATCAAATAAACCCAGAAACATCGTTAATGTGCAAGGTTTGTACAATGTAACAGTTATATTAGTAAATCCGAATGCAGATTTGATAAAGATCAATCATTATTCGGTTATTCAGTTATGCTGTGATTATTTCAATTTAATTGAACTACTTCAAGATCAGAATAACAATGTAATAAACATTTTCAACTAAACACTTCCATAAATAGTTTGAAATTATGCTTCAGCGCTAAGGCTTCACAATAATCCTTCATGTTTTCGTTTGGTTGAACTATATTTATTGAAGCGAATTTATCAATGCTTTGATGTTACTTGGATAACAAATAAAAATTGGAAAAAATTCTCAACCACAGCTGTATCCTTAACGGGGATTTTCACTATGGAGAACTTAAAATTCAGAATATTTAAAAGAAAGTTTCAGTTGAACCAGAGTTTTATCAAATGACTCATATTTTTAACTTTAATCATTTTATCGGATTTGTTACGCATACACGTTAACACGTCATTTTGATATGCTTGAACTATGACGAGTGTACCTTGGTCGGAATACGAGAGCGAGGATCAAGCGACACGATATGCTACTCTAATCCTGGTGTCCCAACCCCCATTGAGTAAAAGAAGACTTCATATGACGTAGAACGTGTATTCTACAATCATTCAGAAAAAAACGAGGTTCGAGTCCAGAAGAGAATCAGGATCCCGGACTAAGGATCCAGGTCCGGGTCATAAAACGTTACAGATAATGCAATTTATACATTTAGGTCGAAAAGGAAACAGCATCGAAGTCTGTGACATTGACAGTTAACGCGACCAATAGGAAACAACATTTGCAGGGACACTGATGTTCGGGATGACCAATAAGAAACAACATTGGAGTACGTGACATTGATATCTACGATGACCATAAAATTGACCAGCAGAAATTAACAAATAAGAATCGACCAATAATTCTCTTAGGATATTGGATGAATATCCTAACAGAATTATATATTTTATGATCTATGGTGTAGCGTATAAACGAGGTTCGCACAAATGTATAGACTGGCTACTTGAGTGAGAATATGAGAATAAAAGAAAAGGTCTTTTTGGTCACTAATCATAAATCCTCATTTACTCTTTAGAAAATGAATCCGTTTCTTGATCAATGATAACAATTCATCTTTCAGAACATTTCGAATGGCCTTCTTATTTAGCAAATTCTGATTGGCTCATTGTATCAGTGTACTATTTCATTTTCAAAATGGTTCAACTTCACTGATCAAAGTTCCTACCGATGTAGATTACTTATAAATAAAAGGTTATTTTGTTGAGACGGTTCAATTTAAGAAGTGAAAGACACTAGTTTGGTCCACAGATAAGTACCGTATAGGTTTTACAAACTAAGAGTAAGCGTTTATCCGGGTACATAGTTTGTTAATCTGACATATTTAGGTTAATCCTACATTTTGTTATCACTGTGAACTAGGTGATCCTGAGCACTGTAAAGGTGTGTGGGTGTTTTTCATTTTTTGGTTGCCGAAACTGTGGGACGATACTTCTTGTTGAGATAAATGAAAAGCAAACTGGATTAGCAGAGCTTTTCGGTGAGCATAGAGCTTAACCACAGACACAAAAGGACAACTACTAAAGGTCAACCACACGTGACGTTCTCGGTAGTAGTTCTTGAAGTATTGACTAGGTACTTGAAAGACCTTTGCTCTTGCTACAGGAGTTCGTAGGCAAATCGAAGTATGGTATTTGAAGGTTAACTTTTTACAACTCATCCTACTTTGTGGTGAGGGACTACCATTGAGGATGTCATCTGTCTAAGAAAAACACCTTACTGCGATCACATCCAAGTACCGTAACTAGTACTACTTCACGCTCGGACCATGCATCTACTGCTCTTAGTAAATTTGTTAAAAATAGTAAGACTTCAAAAGACACGTGTTCTAACCTATATAGTTTCATTCAGCTATTACGATAGTCACACCAGACCACCACATAAAAGTAGAAACTTTGTTATTTTAGTTGCTAAACTAAGAAAAACAGTAATCAAGCAATATAAAACTAGTTTTTCATCAATGTCTTCAATTAAAAAAAAAACATGTGCCTACCTTGAATCGTATGTTTGACTATTATTATCAAATTTATATGTAGGTGCAAAAGTAATTTTATGTTCTCGAAAACCTTGAAAAATTTTTCGACTGTTCAATTCTTTGGATAACTTTAAAACAAAAAGCCAAACACAAAATCATTGGTTATTTAATGAGTAAACCGATTGAAAGAAAGTAACAACATTGTGCAAGTTAATAATTCAATTATTGTCTGTCGATCATAGAGAGAAAGGAGTGTAATAAAAATATTAGGTAAATTGCTATGCGATGGAATTTTGTTATGCTCGTCAGATTGATATGTTTGAAATTATTACAAGTTCACCTTAGTCAATAATAAACAAGAACAAGACAATGACCTAATGACACGATAGGCTACTCTTATCCGCTGCCCTAACTAACTGAAGGAAAAGTCTTGATAGAGCGTGGAAAGTGTATTCTAGCGGTTCACCTTAGTCGATAAACGAGAACAAGACAATGAATTAGTGTCCAAGTAGGCTACCCTGATCCTCTGACCCAAAGGAACTAACGAAGAAGTCCTGATATAGCGTAGAAAGTGTGTTCTACAAACACTCAGTAAATACAATGATCTCAAGCACACAAATCGCGTTCATTTATACATCATAGAAACGTCCTTGGGAGAGCCGCAATAATAGCCTACTAAATTAACACATTAACCAATTACAGCCAGGGATTTTCCTGGTTGGAAATGAAATCTTAAGGTCAACTGATCAGCCTATGAATAAAATCCAAAATTAAGACGTTTGTCAAGTGAATTTTGTGGATCTAACGTCCTCAATAAATTTATTCACAACAAGCTTTAAGTTATGATTTGCAGTTCATGTAAATGATTTATAGCTTATCCATGCAATAAATCTTTACTACGGATTAATATTAAGAAATAATATTTTCAGTTAGAGCTTTAGAGATTTGTGTTTTTACACATTTGAAATCATTAATCAATCATTTTTACACCATCATTAGAAACCTGGAAGCACTGAAAGACGGCCGTTACGTCCTGCTATGGGACTCACCAGCAGTGCGCATTCACGACTCCTGCACCTCGCAGGATTCGGACCTGGGACCTTTGGTATTGTGCGCGAACGCCTAACCATTGCACCACTGGGCCGGTATCCAACATTGTTAATATCTAACTCTGATTGACCAGTGGAGTTCAACCCCGTCAAGTGTAGGCAGTAACTACGAACGACAAATGGGCGAGGTCGCGCAAAATCCGTAGATCAATCAGATTTAGACATTGACACCGTTGGGTGCCAATCGAGTGGACCAGAGTTTAGGCGTTCGCGCACAATACCAAAGGTCCCGGATCCGAATCCTGCGAGGTTCAGGAGTCATGGATGCGCACTGCTGATGAGTCCCATACCAGGACGAAACGGCCGACTTTCAGTGCTTCCAGGTTTCTAATGGTGGTCTAACAATGATTGATTGATGATTTCAAATGTGTACAAAATAATAATAAAATATCATATCATTTAAGCAGTAAACTAGTATAAATATTATTTGTAAATGATAACTTTAAGGATTTATGAGAATGTTAAGCAGAAGGAAACTTAAGATGACTGATCACGGAAATCAAGATATCCTGTACTAAACTTATTGAATATAATTCACTGATAGAGTAGAGTAAAAGCTCACAAAGAACTGTTGTCGTCTTTTCTAATTTTAATACAAATGTCACCCGCCAAAAATCTCCATAAAAATGACATTTTAATAATCAGACCAATTGGAAATTTATTTCTGATGTACAGTATTGAACAATCTGCGGTATCATTTGAATACCTTTAGAAACATTTAGAATATCTTCATTTCATATTAAAGAAGTCGAAAAGATGATTTACTTTCTTAGTTAGCCGATAAGTGATGGAAACTTTGAACGCATATATATGTACAACGTTTTATTGCTATCTGGCCGCTTCAATTGAGAATGAGACTACCACATAGGAAGTTTGTCGGATAACAGTTCATTCTATAGTGCTTTATGGATGTGAAACATATATTTTTTTGTATAAGAGACGGGTGTTGGTTACTGATAAGTGGATAACCTATGCCACTGTAGCATTTTCAATATAGATAGAGAACCCCTGAGGAATATTATTAACGTTTAACTTAGAGTAATATGCAAAGATAAAAAAATTGTCTAATGGACTAGTTCATATTTGACTATTCCCCAAATTATCTTGCTGTAGAGTATCAGAACAGATTAAAAAAAACCTAGAGGCGATCAAATCCTTGTCTAGAATCTGCACAGGAAATCATCAACCATAGATGGAGGAACAGATTTTGCTGTCTAGAATTAATGGTGTTTTCGTTGCTGTAAATGTGCCTTAGATTGTGTTCTTGAGGAAAAATAACTATCATATTGGAAATGAACTTTCAGAACAGGCATTTCAATAATCAGCCTATTAACTTATAATTAATCAAAGAATATTTCAATATAAATGAAAATCTACCTCATCATTTCTAAGTAAACTATTATAATTCTTTTGTTGAATTAATCTCCTGACATCATCGGAATCCAAACCAGTAATTCGATAATTCAAATCGCCAAATACAAAAATTACACTACATGATAAAAACAAAAATACCACCTTAGCAGGAGGGTTTAATGTCATTTATTTTCAAATATATATATATATATATATATATATATATATATATATATATAAACAATTACAAAAGATTAGTTTTCATATTATGATAATTTGGAATAAAGAATATAAATTGTTTTATTGTAATCAATAGTGGCTGCGTGTTTTAGTTCATCCACAGTAACACATAAAAGAGAATAGGTGAGATGTTTTAGGTAGTTGTAGCCCTCATTGGATAAGGTTCTTAAACTTTTGAATGTAGTATTTAATTTAATAAGGACTATATTTCAAGATTTTCTCAAAATCCCAGTTTAGATGTATTTTACATATGATTTTCAAAAGTATCATTAGACAGAAACATGATTAATTTACAAAATTTCTTACTACAATAATTGATTCACAATTTCTTAATAGAATGAATATAACTAATATATAGGTCACATTCTCTAGGATGTCACAAATCTACAAACAATAATCCTGAAGTAGTAGTAGTGTCGCCTACCTGGCTGAGGTCTGCAAGATGATAGTAATCGATGGTTAGAGATCCTGAACAACATGGCTCAAAACCATTTACAATGGCGCAGGTGCATTCATTCTTCGTGTTCTCTCAAACCCTAACCTTCTGAATTCCTCATCACTTTTTCTTTTTAAGTTCAGTTCACTAGATTCTACTTCTCGAGTCAGATCTTCAAACCCTAATCTTCTCCATTAAGGCTAATACATCTACTACCTCTACTACTATGGGATTTGAATTGACCATTGCCTCTTTATGCTAATGTGTTATGACAACTTGAACTGATATACGTACGTATGAAGTTCTACGTTGCTGTTGACAGACTGCTTGATTGATTGATTGATTGACTGATATATATTTTAATTATACTATTTTTAGATTATAACAACTCACTCATGTATTGAATAATAAGATTTTGTCACAGTAAATGGAATACTCCTTTTTGGATTTATAGGGAACATTAAAAACATTTTACGTACAATCTCTTTGAAATCTTGATTACGACGATTAAGTTTCTCTTCACCAGCAGCTAAATGACAATTTACAAAACATAATGATGTATTAAATATGGTTAGACGAAGACTGACACCACCTTTATTACCCTTTAATGAAAGTAAATAAGAAAAAAAATAAATTGATTTGTGATAATTGCAACGTAAAATTTACTACAATGAATTTAATACTTTAAATAAATATTTCTGTTTTATTTGTAACCATGAATCGATCAATGTTAGACCTGGAAGAACTGAAAGTCGGCCGTTTCGTCCTGGTGTATGGGACTCATCATTCTTCACAACAACCCCGCAATGCAATAACATGTGTCCACTAGTGACTAACTTGGTGAGGAATCTTCTACGAGTTCTAGTGGGAAGTCGTGACCAGTGAAGTTCAAACCTGTTTGGATGTATACAGGGTATGAGGTTGCGCAACTCCGTGAATTTGATCAAGTTAGACATTAATACCGTTAGATACCAGCACAGTGGTCCAATGGTTAGGCGTTCGCCTACCATACCGAAGGTCCTGGGCTCGAATCCTGCGGGGAGCAGGAGTCGTGGGTGAGCGCAGTTGAGGAGTCCCAATCCAGGACGAAACGGCCGTCCAGTGCTTCCAGGTTTCTAATGGTGGTCTAACATTGATCGATTCATGGTTACAAATAAAAATTAACAATCTTCACAACAACCCCGCAATGCTAATATTTCTGTGTGTATAGGAAAGTATCAGCTAAAAGACAGAAACAGTTGTCTACACAAGACACTTCGGATCCGTTGGCTAAACACCATCAACAAAAATCTACTGTGGTAGAGAATAGGTTAGCTTTTAGCGGTGAAAGAAATCAGGTAACAGTGCAGGACATGAATAGGACACATAGCGGAAATCATACAACCGTGTCACGAGGCAACTCCTAACCTGTAATCCTCAAGGCAACAGGCGAAGAGAAAAGCCAAAGAACAAATTGTTCTGAGATTTGGAGTTAGACGTCAAAAGAATGAATAGAAGTTGGTACCAAGTGAAAAGGAGAGAGAAGGACAGGGTTTGTTGGAGAATCCTGGTCGAAAGCCCATGCTCAGTGACGGATAACAGGTGTAAGCGCATAATTTCGTAAAATTCTAGAACAAACCATCCTCCAACTAAAACAATCTATTTTCTTCCATAGAATATGGTAAGCTTTGCTAGCCTAGTTACTCAATATCAATATAGTGTTAAAAATGTTTAACGAACATTGAAAGATTGTTACAACTATTGAATAGTATCCTACTTACAACAAGCTAAACAACGTAATACAAATACAAACTATTCATTTTTTAACTTTATTTTTGATATCATTTTCTCAAGTGAATAGTTTTTTCAAATACACTTCTTGATTATTGCAAAAAAATCATAAAACAACTTACTAACATATTTAAAACACCGGTTGGAACAACATGTTGTGAAATTTCATTTTGACGTAAATGAACAGATAATCTAGCTGAAATATACACTATCATCATGATACCAGCTAGACGAACACGTCTTATACGAATATATCCTCCACCAGTGTACTGAAACCAATGAGATGCAAAATTATTATTTACTGATTCTTCATTTTTATTCTGATTAACATGATTGTATTTAGAAATAGGTGGTGGTTTCAATAACCCGCCCAATGCTTCTTCTAGCTGTTGAATCCATAAATCTCCTGGTTCAGATGAACCAATCTTATTGGGAGTAATTACTTTAAGATTTATATGCAATTCTTGTAATCTAATTAAAAATGGATATAAATGGAAGTAATAAGAGAAAGAAAATATTCCATAACTTCAATTCATTGTAAATAAAAAAAAATTACGATCATTTTGTCAAGTTCAAATGCTTACCCAAGAACATATAAATCAGCTGGTGGTTGACCTTCAGGAGGCATAAGCCAATTATCTAAATTTAAATTACTACCATTACGACCATTTACATTCCATGTTCCAATGAAAATATTAATTTTTTTTTGTTTAAGATAATCAGTGATTGAATATTTTAAAATGTTATTCCATGGTTCCATATGTCTACTTGAAAAAAAATAGGAATAATATAACAGTAGACAGTTAATCATAGTGATTTGATGAAATGTCTCTGATAAGCTATGAACTTTAAGAGAAAATACATTGTTAAAATTGACAATATACTTCTCATTGACACTTAAACATTACTAGATGGTTAAATTTAGTACAGCTGAAAAAAGTATATTTGATTCAGTTTGTAGTGTTGTGGTGCACGCTACTTATAAGTAGTATATGACGTGAGTGTAAACGTAATGTCTGCCAGCAGAAGATGGGGGAAGATCAAGAAAGGAAGAGTGGGAACACAATGGAATTTGTATGAAACGCATGAATAGTGAAATGTCAGACAATGGATTGATGATGGATTGAAGATTTGCAAATTAACCGTTTACGATATGGTCTTCCTATTTTACTGAGTTACTCTGTAATTTTCGTTAAATACGATTCGGTTGCCCTCACCTGTGTTCTCCTTCACTACAGTGTGTGTAATTTTATGTCGAGCCCACAGAGCTTGCCTGTGCCAGTAGATGATTTAATCAATCCACACTCCTCGAGTTGTACTGTATAGACGTCATCCGATCTTGCCAACTACTAGCTATTATCTTGGTTGAATTTATTCCAGTGTGTGTACTTCATCGCATGGAGTTGGCTTGCCCTACAACTCCCCTTTCGTTTTGCTTTGCTTGTACACTTTTTGTTCTCATGTCTGTCTATACGAATGATTGCTTGAAAAAAATTCGTACAACCGAATCCTTATTTGGCTTGTTAGTACCGCTGTCGCACAAATTGCGTTCGTCTAAGTATGATGATATTAAGAAACTAAAGAGGAGATTTATTTCATAGCATACTTAATAATTCATAAATGTTGAAGTCAGATCGCAAGCCACTAAAAATTCAAGGACATCATAATTTAATGCTGTTCAAGAAGACGATTATCAATTTTGAAATTTTCATGAATGCAACAGGAGAATATTTGACTGATGTATAAAGCTGCACATTCTTAGCTGTGGCCATATTCACAACTGCGAATTGAGATTACCCAAACAGTACAGCCCTTACTGGTACAAAACGTGAAAACACATGAGAATAATCCTAAATAACCATATTATTGATGTGTTAGATGGTTAGTGGTTTCTGACCGAAAATTCTGAACTTGGGTTTTGTGTTATCTAGCACACATGAGGGGATTTCTGTTCCTTGGGCAAACTGAACCTATTTGACTCACCTAGCCCTCAAGTCCATGATATTACCTTTGAGCTATTAGGGTCAGCGAATGATCTTCTATAGAGTTGAGATATTTACAATTAAGTGATCATCGATTATTGACCAGTGTTGTGTTTGTCTAGACCTTTAGTTGTTTTTCGAATTATATTGGATAAGTTACAATCTGGCCACTAGTCTAATCGAGTAGATACATATTCCTTATGCTATGATAAAAATGCCCTATCAGCTAACCTTTAGAAGTTTTACTGAATAAATTTTGTCAAAATGTCACTTACTATTTATTCCTTGAATCAGTTATGAAACGAAGATTGGATAAACTAGATGGTGTAGTCAAATTCTAAAAAAAAATGCACAAAATAACAACAATAAAAATGCTGTAGTAATCTTTTTTTGAGAATTACTCATCATAACTAATTGTTAAACGATATTTATATAAAAAAATATATAATTGTAGTGGATCCATTTATAGGAAGAGAATGTGATTGGTTTAATGGAAACATTCAATATTATAACTAATTGTACCAGTGATTGTTTTACTGAACCTCTTTGTTGATAATACATTTTTACGTGAAAACTGTTACGCCTGCCTGTAAACACGTCAACTCGATATACTTGAACTGCTACGAGTTTACGATAGTCGTAAACGAGAGCGAGGATCAAGAATCCGGCGACACAACATGCTACTCAGATCCAATTATCCCAATCCCCATATTTAGTAAAAATAAGAAGACGTGATATGAAGTACAACATGTATTCTACAAGCATCCAGAAAGTACGAGGTCCGAATCCAGAAGAGAAACGGGATCCCGAACTAGCGATCCGGGACCGAGCCCTGGTCCTGGTCGAGGTCATCAAATGTTACAGATAATGCATATTTATACATTTTGGTCGAATAGGAAACAGCATCGAAGTCTGTGACATTGACAGTGAAGACGACCAATAGGAAGTAACATTTGAAGTGACGCTGATAGTCAGGATGATCAGTTAAAGAGACCATAATTTTGACCAATAAAAATTGACCAATAGGACTTGACAAATAATTCTCTTAGGATATAGGATGAATATCCTAACAAAAACGTTTCTGTTTGTGTTGCTGGCATGCTTTGTTGCCTCAATAACTCTGTAATTTTACTCATCTTTTCTGGTTTGATTTCAATGTTCTTTTGACACCATAAAATCACCAGTAAATATATTCTTTACCCTTCTGGATTTATTTATCTTCCTAAGTGACAGATTCGTAATTAGTATTTAGTGGTGATCATAGTCAATCTCGACTCGATCATCACTCAATAAATTATTAACCCTATCATTGACAAATAAGTTAAAGCTGATGTTTAGTATTAAACATTTCAGTAAAATTTAATGCGAATAAATGTGGGGGAGATGAGTCAATCAGTAAAAACAAAAACAAGTACTATGTAGGTGAATATTTTAACAAGTAGATAAATTAAGTATGAGTAGGAACTATATCAATATAGACCGATTATATCATCACATCAACATGCTTCAAACTGGAAAAACAAAACACAACCTTAACCATGTGATCATATTGTTAAACACATGTTTTTCGAAACGGATTGATTCATCGAAAAAAAAGAAAACAGTGAAAAAATGTTTTAACAATAGAAATGTTTCTTTTCAATGATATCATTTTCTTAAATTGTACAATTATTGTATTGCTAAGAAAGTTTTTTCTATTGAGTAATTGTTTAATTGATAATAAAATAGATTAGTGTCACAAATTAATCATAGATAATTAAACTTATGTGAACAGTGACCAGTGGATACGACTGTATCGCATGATAAAGCATCATCGTTGAAATGAGAATTTTCTTTGCTATTGTGTTCGTCACTAAGTATGCTTGAGGCTATTACGAGTTTACCTTAGTCGATAAACGCGAACGAGACAATTACCAGCGTCCAGGTAGGCTACCTTGAATCCCCAAATAAAGTAAGAAGACTTGGTAAGCGTAGAAAGTACATTCTACAAACAACCAGCAATCACAGTACAATCAAGCATACAACTCTTGTTTATTTATACATCATAGAAACCTCCTTGGGACAGTTAAGAAAACAGCACATTAAAATACACAGCAGCCAATCACAGCCATGGATTTTCAACGTGGGAAATGAAATCTCAAGGTCAACTGATCAGCCCATGCTCACAAACGTGAAATACAAAATTCAGGCATTTATCAAACGAGTTCTGGGGATCTAACATCCCCAACATTTGCTGAAACGTCTTTATTTCTTTTTCAAATTTATCTGTGATGGAGATATTATCAGGGAGCAAAAATCTACTGATTAAAACAAGTGATCAGCACTTAAGAGTTTTGTTCTTAGTTAATTAGTTCTGTCTTATCGATGCTTTGTAACCGTAAAATCAAATATCTGATAGAATTCTGATTTAAACAGATATAACATATTATTTTATACAGCAGTTACATCTGATGAATATGATTACATCGAAATGTTTAAGTGATCGCTACTATAGTGAAATATAGCTAACAGAGAGAGAGAGAGGGAGACAGTCTACTTGCCAACATTAATTTACCTTTGATCAGCTTTAAACACACAGTAATTTTATTGTTCTATTCAACCTGTGCATATCACCCATACGAAATACAGTTTCATAGTTTATTCAGAAAAATAACAATATATACGTTGAAATTTGTTATACACATATTTATAACTCAGAATTTAGAAATATCTAAGCTTGTTGATCATTTCTGTTTACTGTGGTATTGAACAGCAATGTCAACAATTTAGTGCATTTCATTTATTGAAATATCTTTGATTCTCAATGTTTATGAAAGAAGATATGTACCATAGAAAAGTGATAACAAACATTTACTTCATATTTTATTAATGCAAAACACATGATATATTTTAAACGGTTACTTGAACACTTCTGTTAACTAAAACAATTCTTTAATAGTGTTGGGGACGTTAGATCCCTAGAACTCACTTGATAAAGGTCCTAATTTTGGATTATATGTTTTCCTGCATGGGCTGATCAGTTGGACGTGAGATTACATTTCCCAGTCAGAAATTCCTTGATTGTCATTGGTTGATGTATTATTTTAACACGTTATTTTTGTGGAGTCTGTTTCAAACTTACAACTTAACAGACTAAATTTAAACTCTTTAACTACTCGTCCATCGCTCCATTGCAGATAATATTTTCATTGAAGACATTCACAAACCAAAAATGAGAGATACGTGTAAATACCACCCGATAAAAAATCAAGATAGGAATTATGGATCAGTCAATGTTAGACCACTGGACATCTGTTTTGTCCTAGTATGAAACTCACCAGCAGTGCTCATCCTCGACTAGCGCACGTGGTAGTCGAACCCAAAACTTCGGGTGTAAAGTTGGACATTAACACTGTTGGATGTCAGCTCAGTGCTCTAGATATCAAGTGACTATCTAATGCTTCTAAGTTTCCAATGGTGGTCTAACATTGATCGATTCATGATTTCAATGAAACTTAACCATCATCTGCACAAATCTATAACGAAAAATTCATTGAAGAAAACGATATATGTATTTGCATGCTTAGCTTACTGTTTCCACTTTACTATCTGTCAAAGAGATATTCAAGTTGTTTTGTGATACAGACAAAAATTTCTTCTTCATTGGTAATGGAGGCTTTAGCTCTGGTTTCACTGACGATGAGGATATTGACGATTGAGAACGACGCATTTTAACCAAGCGTTTCATCACCTGTCCTTTTGATTTGATATATTTACTTTGAACAGATAATTTAGAATTGTCTAAACTTGGACAACTATTTGTTTTACCACAAACAGATGTTGGTTTTAAATAATCATAGTTATTCTCATCGATACTACTGGAATCAGAAACGTCCAAACTATTAGGATCGTCTAATTTCGGAGCCAATTCGAATGAATCTTTGTTTCTGGTTAATTCCAAAGATAAAGAATGAAAATTTCAAACAACATTTACAGATATATATATATATATATATATATATATATATATATATATATATATTTAATATAAGGTTCATAGTTCGTATCAGTCACTGACCTTATTTAGATAAGCATTAAAATCTAAGAAGTATTGGGCAAGTCATGTTTTGTTCTAGTACAGGATTCTTCAATATTTAGCATCCATAAACCCAATGAGGTTCGAATCCACAACTTTCGGATCAAGGAACGAATGACTGACTTTCAGGCCAGTAACTGACTAGTATTCCAATAATGTACACATTCAAATTCAGTCACTTTCAGATATTGAGCAACCATCTTCCAAAATGTACATATGTATCAGTATCATTTTCAGTGGCTTAGATTCATCCACTTTTTGCTTTCTTTCATACCTTGATTAAGCTTAATGCGAATTTTGAATATCTGAACGCTAATCAATACATATATTAAACGCACAGAATTGTGAATCCGATACAACTTACATCTGCTAAATAAATGTATCTCATGATAAGAATACCGAAAATTGTGAGTAATAATAAACTATCAGTGACTTTGCTGAAATAGCCTAAAATTTTAGCTACTAAACATTATTTCTTTTGAGATGGTGGAGAAAACTTGTAGCTCAGGTGGATGATTGTGATAGTGTTTTGTTCTCTGAGCTGGTTGTTTTGGTTGTGGAGCTTTCATTGTTCTCTTGCTGAACAACATCATCAGCACAAACTTCAGATAGAAGAAGTGAAGCATTCGAATTTCTCCATGTTTGATCTGCAGCTTGTTCTGCTAACCTCGATCTTGATTGGTTGTTGTTGGCTTTAAACCTGTCAAGCTCAGAGAACGAAATACCATCACAAACATTATATCTCCTGAAATGAGTAATCTACGATGAGTATTTCAAATAATTAACTGTTTTTATCTATCTCAGTTAGCAATGATATAAACAGAATATAGGAAGTTGTTAATAACACAGTGCTTTTCCAGGACATAAATATAGGCTTTAAATCATTTACATGTAAATTACCCTACATCATGCTTATATGATTCAGTTGCTTTGTACTAAGAAAACCTAACTATATATATATATATATATATATATATATATATATATATATATATATATATATATATATATATATTAGTCAAACAGTATGTTATCATCATAGTCATCTGTTTCATTTTAAGCATTAATCAATAAATTTAATCAAATAAATTTTTTAAAAAGCAACAAATTTTCAAAATTCAACATCATTTAAACATTGACGTTTGAAAAAGTCGCGGATTTTTTAAAAAAAACAACATGTTTCATATGCACACCTGATTCATAACCAAGATAAAAATAAGGATTATTATTAATTAAAAGAATTGTATAGTACTTGATTATTATTGATTATTGGTGTACTTGTTTCACTTACTGATATTTAATTAACCAGTGAAATGGTTGTTCTTTTGAATTATTGATCGATAGAATTGCATCATCATCATTTAAATAAAATTTAATTTGATCATTTAACATAGTTGTTGTTGTTGTTGTTGTTGTTGTTGTTGTAGTGTTTAATTCTGGTACAGATAGAAATTTTGTACGTTTTGCATAGCATTGAATAATCAATTTGCGAAATTGTAATGCATCGTCAATATTGTAAAATTCCAACAATAAACTTGCAAATTGTAATGATGATGATGCATAAGATTGATTTAGCTGATTGTAATATATTAATGTATATATATATATATATATATATATAAAAGAGAAAGTGAAATTATTATTAATAGTAGTATTTAACAACTTATTTTTTTAAACAAAAAATAATGAACATGTGATATTAATAATTCAGGTGAGGAGAGTAAAATAAATAATAAAAAAACAGCGATCAAGATCTATCTATCTATTTTATATATATGAGAATTTTCATTATGAGTCTTTTATCTTAAACTTTTTTTTTATTGCACGCTACTTATAAGTAGTATATGACGTGAGTGTCAACGTAATGTCTGGCAGCAGAAGATGGTGAGAAGATCAAGAAAGGAAGAGTGGGAACACAATGGAATTTGTATGAAATGCATGAATGATGACAATGGATTGATGTTTTGCAACAGGAACAGTCCAGTTTGATATGATGAATTGATATTTTGCAAATTAATGATTTACGATATGGTTTTCCGATTTTACTGAGTAATACAATCCGGTTGCCTCACCTGTGTTCTCCTTCACTACAATACTTGTACTTGATTAACATGAAGTCGATACGGATGATCAATATTCAAAGATGTTTACTTACTAAATTGTTTTTATATATTACTATTGATTATTGATAATTAGAGTGTTGTAGATAAAATTATTGCACCCAACTGCGTCATAAGACTAGCTGTCACATGGAACTATCAAGGTTAAAGAAAAGGGGAAGGTCAAAGAACACCTTACGCCGAGAAATAGAGATAGACATGAGTAGAATGAACAAAAATTGGACAAAATTGGAAAGGGAAGCCCAGGTTAGAGTAGGTTGGAGAATATTGGTCATCGGCCTATGCTCCGTTGGGGATAACAGGCTTAAGTGAGTAAGTAAGTAAGCAAGTAAGTAAGATAAAATTATTCTATCCAAAATAGTGTCAATGATTAGTGGTCAGAGTAATAAATCTAGTTTGAATATCTCCTATGATCAAGGTTTAGTTTGATAATTTTAAATAAATTGAACATTCAAATTGATTGTTTATAATAAAACGTTCTTATACTTAAAAATTAAACAAACAACTACAATAGTAACTTATTGAAATGAATGAGTCAAAATACTTATTACAATCTAACTAAGTTTAATAGTCCTAATTTCATATTGTTCCAATTAAATTAGAGATCATTGTTAATTATATTTGTGTGTGTGTGTGAGTGTGAAGAACGTGATACTTATAATGAGTTAGTTATCATTAGAATTATTCTGTTTTTTTTGTCAATAGTGTGTACTTTGTACAGTAGAAACTTTGTTGGTTGTTTTTTTTTTTTTAAATGGTTTGAGGTCTACAAAATAACTAGAAATTTTTTACTATTAATAGTAATATAATGTAAAGCACAAAATATAGAAAGTTACAGTCATTAGCATTTTTTTTGAATTGTGACAAAGTGTTTTTCATAATATCATGATGATATCATTTAATCAATCATTGTTAGATCATCATTAGAAATCTGGAAGTACTGGACAGCCGTTTCGTTCTGGTATAATAATGATGATGATGATAATCTCAATGTGTGAAAACACTGATCTACATAACTGTAACTGGAAAAATTGTACATTGTGCTCACTAGTGGCTAGCTTTGTGAGGAAATTCTCGGAGTTCTAGTTTGAGAAGACGTGACCAGTGGAGTTCAACGCTATGGAGTAGTGCAGGTAGTAACTATCGAAGACAAATTCCTGAGGTCACGCAAAATCCCTAGATTGATCAGAGTTGGACATTAACACCGTTGGATGCCGGTCCAGTGGTACAGAGGTTAGGCGTTCGAGAGCAACACTTAAGGTCCTGCGTTCGAATCCTGGGAGACGCAGGAGTCGTGAATGCGAATTGCTGATGAGTCCCATACCAGGACGAGACAGCCATCCAGTGCTTCCAGGTTTCTAATGGTGGTCTAACAATAATATCGATTGGTGATTTCAACATGTAAAAACACTGATCTCAGTGAGTGTTATTGAAAAAAATATCATGATACCCTTAATTTTGATTCGACAGTTGCTATTGTTGATCGGACTTGTATATTACTGAGTTTCATAGGTTTGTTAAATCTTTTTTTATAGCTTCGATATTGTTTGATAGGCAACAATATCAAATGCGACATATTCCACACCAACTAACCAACAAAAACATAATTCTTTATAGACGTGAAAAAAAAACTATTTTCTTTATTCCAACCAAAGTATTTCCTAGAACATGGGTAGGTAATCTTAAAAAAAACTCTGAGCAGTTTAAAAGTAAGTAGTCCTTAACTAGATTACCCCTTTTTTACTTATATAACAAATTGATTGTAGGATAATACTAATAATAATGATTCAATTTTCATTTGATATGCTAATCTGATGTTAATTAAATAAAATTTCAATGGTCATTTGAAAATATGTAATAAATCTTAAACTTAATAAACATATCAATTCATATTCGTTTTTTTTGGCAAGTGAGGTTTCGACGGAATGGGATCGCCAACCCTATGTCCACTCCTCCTCCTTTCTCCAGGCTTGGAACCAGCAGTAGCCACTAAGGTTCTACTGGCGGAGTTTAAATTATCAATTTAATTTTAAAATAGAATAAATTTTTATTTAAGAGGTAGTAGATTTAAAAGAAAAAAGAAAGTACTTTTCTTAACAAACAAAAAAAAGTAAAGAATAATACCAACGCTTACAAATCCATTTTAATTGATCAAATAAAGTACAACCATCAAGAGAAAATGATTTTTATTTTTAAAATTCTATAAAAATGTACTCAATTAATAGAGAGATAGATAAGATGATTGATTGTACATCGTTGGTGTGACATGTTGAATTGATTATGAGAGGAAAGTGTTTTGTTGATAATTGATTAGAACTAGTTATTGACTAATATATATTTTTTATAACGCATTCACAATATTCCTTTATATATACATGATCTACATACATGTATTTTGATAAGAATAAAAATGTCGATAATTTTTAGTTTATATGATCAAAAAAAACAATCTAATCATTTATTGATATAATGCGATATTGTGTTAGTTTTATAGGAATAATACTCAGTAAAAAAAATTTATGAAGGAGTACATTGATTTCATCGACTTAAAGTAATTTTATTGATCAGACAGAGTAAAGGTATAAGATACATTGAACTAAAAGATAAAGACAGCAGATTTTCAGTCAGTCAGTCATTTAGTCAGTCAACAACAATTTACATTACATAAGTTTAAGTTGTCATACCACATTAGCACAGTGATGCAATCGTCAATTCATATTCCATTTTAGTAGGAATAGTAGTAGTATCAGCTGTAATGGAGAAGATTAGAGTTTGAAGATATTATTTAAGAATTAAAATCTAGTGAAATAAACTTAAGAAGAGAAAGATAAAGGTGATGAAGAAACTTGAGGATTAGAATTGAAGACAGCATAACGAGTAGATGTACATGCGCCATTGCAAACGATTTTGAGTCATGTCGTTCAGGGTTTCTAACCATCGGTTACGGATTCCAACCAGGTAGTCTGAATCTACCAACATGACTCAGTCCGCTTGTCAGTGAGTTCATGGGTTTTTGCCATGTTGTAGTTTGTCCGACCTTAGCTTTCTTCCAACCTACTCCTACACCACAAAATATCGCTCATCCAGGCAGTCGGTGGTTGGGCATTCATAACACATGTCCCAACCGTCTCACTGTTTTATCAGTTGATCTGCTATCCTTACCTATGACCCGTTTCCTAACGACAGCATCGCTTACTCGGTTGTCCCATGATACACGAGCAATGCTTCGAAGACACCTATGATCCAAACCAATAACCTACGAATATCTTCTACTCTGACTGACCATGTTTCACAGCTATAAAGTAGGACGGAGTGAACTGCTGCGCAATAGACTTGTGCTTTTGTTAACAGACAGATATCTTGCCTACGCCATAATAAATGACACAAATTGACAAAAGCCAACCGATTTTATATTCTCTCAACTTATTTTGTTCTATTTCTTAGCCAGATTTATGATCTAAATGAATTTTCATACTTAAATACCTAATTGGTAATAACTACAATATTTATTATCTTATAAACTACAAACAAAGCTAACATCAATTAATTAATTAATCACAGTAAATATTAAATCAAATATGATACACTAACACATCAGCGACTTTATAATTTGCTTATAAAATGAATAAACTATAAAACATTTTTAATATTTACTGTATACAATCACTTTTAAGCTCCTCTATGTGACTCTTAATGATTAAAACATTTACATCACAAATCAATATTCATTAGAAATTTTATTCATATACCAAATACATACTGATAAATAAATAATTTGCATTACGGGGTTGTGAAGATTTTTAAGTTACACAATCTTTGAAACCATGAATCGATCAACGTTAGACCACCATTAGAAACCTGGAAGCACTGGACGACCGTTTTGTCCTGGTATGGGACTCTTCAGCAGTGCGCATCCACGACTCCTGCACCCCGTAGGATTCGAACGTAGGACCTTTGGTATTGTGCGCGAACACCTAACCTTTGGACCACTGAGCCGGTATCTAAGGGTGTTAATGTCTAACTTGATCAATTCACGGAGTTGCGCAACCTCATACACAGTCTTCGGTAGACACTGCCTACACCCGAACAGTTTGAACTTCACTGGTCACGTCTTCCCACTAGAACTCGGAGAAGATTCCTCACGAAGCTAGTCACTAACTAACATTTTAACAACAACAAAAAAACACCTAATGTTTACTCATATATATATATATTATGAAGTAACTATTCATTTGGCTGGTGTAGATGTTTTCACAAAAAGAAGATAAAAATATTTCTGAACTTAGTCATATAACACTAATTAGTTTAGACACCTTATGATTAAACTGTTTAAATGAGTTTATTTTTTTGTTGAAAAATAAAGTACACTTTTAATGACAATAAACTTTTTAAAGAAATTATGAAGTTTTCTATTATATAGAATTATGCCTGATTTATTTTATAAAAAAACTAATCATTTTCAAATGACTCAATGTTTAAAACTCTTCTCACTAGAACTCAAATAGACTTCATCATGGTGCTAGTTACTTATGAGTACATGATAATTCGGATAGTGGGTAAGAGAAGTTGTGACCAGTGGAGTTCAGGTGTTCTGGTGTGTAGCAGTGCTTACTGAAGACAGTGGATGAGGTTGCACAAGACCGTGGATTGATCAAAGTTAGACATTAACACCATTAGATACTGGCTTAGTGGTCCAAACGTTTAGCGTTTGTGCTCAAGACTTAATCCTGTTGTGGTGAGAGCTACTTATAAGTAGTATATGACGTGAGCGTCAACGTAATGTCTGGCAGCCGAAGATGGGGGAAGATCAAGAAAGGAAGAGTTAGAAGAACACAATGGAATTTGTATGAAACGCATGAATAGTGATAATGGATTGATGTTTTGCAACAGGAACAGTCCAGTTCGATATGATGAACTGATATTTTGCTATGGTTTTCCTATTTTACTGAGTAACTCTGTAATTTTTGTTAAATACTATTCGGTTGCCCCACCTCTGTTTTCCTTCACTACACTATTAGTTTTACGGAAACCGTATAGGTGTACTGCTGATGTGTTCCATACTCGGACGAAATGGTCAATGTTCAATGCTTTCAGGTTGATAATAGTGATCTCACATTGATCGATGTATGATTTCAAAAAAAAATTAACTTACATGATATTGAGATTTCATATTTTCTGCTTTCATTGGAACTACATTGTTCAAACTTTTAGATGAATTAGAATTCTTGTCAATAGTATTCATTTTATTTGTAGTAATAGTTTTAAGTGAAGTATTTTGTCTATTGTTATTCATTTGATTAAAATTTTCTTGTATTAATAAATTATTTTGATTTTTATCTAATAACCATCGTCTACCAGTGATATAAATATGATCAGGTTCATCTAATCAACAAAAAATTAAACAGATAAATAATAATATTATGTAATTGAATATTGTATTAGTAGTTATGGCATAAAAAAAAATAGTATTTGATTAAATTGAATAATGAGTAACATCACAAAAGAATTAATTACAATTAAGAAATCCAAGAAATAACACATGAAATAGAACAGATAGATTTTGGCTGCAATTGGAGTGCATATTATTTGGAATTTTTTAGCTTCATCAACCTACAACCTTGTGTTGATGTTCCCATTAGGATTTGAACAAAGAAGCTTACATTTACAGACATGACATGTTATCCATTGGGCTAGAGTTTATATAACCATTACCTTTTTTATGGAGTAGTAGTAGCAGTAGTCCCTTGTGGGCTTCTGCCGATCCCAAGCCCGGATAAAGGAGGAGGGGTTGGCGCCCCCATCCCAACTAAAACTAACTTGCCAAAAAAACGCTAACCAGAATGGTGAGCGGCCTATGCTCCATTGGGGGCAACAGGCGTAAGTAAGTAAGTAAGTATGATATTTGTGCCATTATTAGAAAGGGTTTGAATAATGACATTATCTTTGAGGACGTGCTAATTGGATCTCATTGTTAGCTGAAATTCACTTATCCCATAAAGCTTACGATGATCATCAAAGTCCCTACTGGACATATATACGCCAAAAAGGAATAATCAGACTTTGATCCTAAATAGCAACAATGTGATAGTTTTATAGTTAATATCACAAACTAGTGAAAGCCAGGAAACATTGAACATCTGTTTTTTGACAATATAAGAGTCTACAGGTGTAACTGCTGACAACTTCATAGAGGACCGAGTGGAGAACATTCAGATTCCATTTAGCATTTTGGATGGGCACAGCTGTTTATTTCTTGATTTTCAGTGGTTATTTAACTAAGATCAATCTTTGATGCTAGATATAACATTTGAAAGTCTCCAAAAAACCCTATCTGATAGCATTACAAATTATATACTTGTGAATGATGATATAAACATAAATAACCTATTACAGATTATTTCATGCTGCCTAGACTTTATTTTAACGAAATAACTCTCTTAATTTAATAAATTCAAGTTTCTTAGTACAGGAAATTTTTGAGTATGTTTTAAAAAGCCTTACTAGCTAACAAAAGCAACATTTAGAACTAATTTTCATCAATAATTAAAGCAAATATACAAATCCAAGCGTTCAAAGATTTTGTACACTGTAAAGTCTAAAAATTCTTAAATATTTTCTAACATATTTAAAAATTATGACTATACGAGCTATAAATAATACAAATCGAACCAGTTAATAAACTTTCGCATTATTTTATCATGTCTGATATAATGAAGTTTATTAAAAACATTGTATCATTGAAAGATTCTACTATTCTTCTTTGGTTGCCTTGAAACACATCATTTTGTATTGAATCACTGATCAAAAAACATCATTATGCAGAAAAGTGAGGAGAAAACTGATGCACACTAGGATATTATTCAAGAGTGAATAACCAACAATTACTCGTATATATGCGTAGTGCCTAACTGCATTTAGTTAAAGTAACAAAAATGTATTAGTATTTCAGATCAAGTTCCATTACCATGAATAAATTAAGCAATGAAACTAAAGTTTTGAACTTCAAAGCACTACTACTGGCAATTGAGTAACTTAGTTTTTGTTCCATATTAATATATATATGAATCTTGAATATCCAAGTAGAAAAAAAGCATTCAGATTCAATAATGACGGAGAATATTTGTAGCTACGGTAGGTAAGTTTGCTTATATTTAATTCCCTGAGCTAGATGGTCTGGTGGCTGAGCTTTGATTGTTATCGAACACAAACAAACTCAGAGTTTACCTTATGGACATTTGCAGACATTTCAATCATCTATTTCAGTGAACTAACTGGTCAACGTCAAGAACTCACTAAACTTTTGCCATGATACTTCGTAAATAATTAGTATTAAAATAAGAGTTAAACTCACATTTATATATGAACATTAGTTTTCACATAGTCATAATCATTTCTTATGTTGTACAATGCAAGCTTACACAGATTGGAAATGAGAATTATTTGTTTAACTCCGAAAATCTCTTAGTATCGTAATTACAATAACTAGATCAAATCCACTTTGCTGTAAAAATCATTGATATTCTATGTACTGTTAAAATCATTATTTACAAATTTGTCTTTGTTAATTTATATTACCAATTACCTATTGAATTTTTTGACCTTTGCTACATAGTTAATTTAAATGATTTATAATTAAAAATATTATTGTCTCAAGGTACAAGGTTATATCTTACGGTTATATTTAAATTCGTATATCAACAGTTAAATTGATTACAAGCTGTTAAAGTACATGAGTAAGTTTAAAATGATTCACTAATCAGTTTGTACCTAACGTCATCAATTTACAAAAATTAGTTTAAAATCTTAAACAATTTATATTTTACGACAAAACAGATATTGAAACTTTTCGTAGTTCATGTCACGCGCTAACCCTAAATACACAGACATTGAAAGCCAGAAAGCCCCGGGGAGCTGTTTCGTTCTATGATTAGATTTAGCATAGAACATCCTGGATTTCGCTAGGGGTCAAAACCATCACCTTCAGGTCATACAGTGAGAGCTTAACCTTTTGAGCAGTGCGGTGGCATTCAGTATTTACACGTGTCTAGAAAGTCATTTTTCTATGCTGTTAGTGGTTTATGTTGAATATTCAACTAGTAAGATCTTGTGCTGTCTTCCTATTGATCATTTTTTATTGGAAACTTTTAAATTTAAGCATGATAATAATTGTTATTGAGTAATAAATCAAAATTGTCAAATTATTTAAACCATGACTTTAATTAGAAAGTGTTCAACTGTTTATTGAGTTCAATGAATAGTTACTAAAAATATCTGATCATTTATTTCAGCTAAACTAACTTCCAGAATACAGTTTGAAAAAATACCTCCACCATAAAAAAAATATTGAACAGTTAGTTACAGAAGCAATAGTTTCGTTTTAAATAATTATTATGAACAAAAATCCACCAGAAAGGGAAATGAAATTAATGCTAGCAAATTTATCCTGAAAGAATGTATTTACTCAAAATGGACTAGGAGCTGGTTATCAGCTATTAAAAGGTTCCGCTTAAAATGAGAAAGAATAGCCTTACCCTCTATTGTTGCCTCTAACTATAACTCAGTCAGAACAATCATAAGCGTTGTAGAATTCAACATGTACTTATATTGGTTCACGCTTTCATACAGTATCAACACCGTAGTATAAAATTAATAACACATTCTAGAATACTATATGTAGCAATAGTGTCAGTGGTTGCAAAACACATTAAACGTAGATAGTATGATGTAGTTGGTCAGTCAGTTAGCAACAACTTAGAACTTCATAAGTATATACATCAGTTCAAGATAGTATGATTAAGAAAGTAAGAATGAACTAGTTAAACGTAGAAGTTTAAGATATGTTTGTGTTAGTGGGACATAGATGGAATTAAAGCATGACTACGTTGCTACGCGCTGATTGGCTAATTTCCTATCCAATCTGCGCCTGATCGATTCTTGGAGAACAGGGTAGAAGATTCTCGTACTGTTAGCTGCATGCTGATTGGTTAAACCTAATCCAGTCGATCACGTGGATTTCTATCCAGAAGATTCTCATGTAAATGCTATAAATAGACTAACGTCGTATCTATTTTTGCCTTTGCCTTCGCCATCACCTTTGGCTTCCTATTTCCATTTAACCTTTGCTATTTGCAATATAATCTTTTCCTGTTCCACCGTGTTTTTTTATGCTTTGGAACTTGTCCAGTGTATTGTGGTCAGAGAATATTAAGCAATAGGAATTAGCCGGGAATTATTCAAGCAAGCTTTACAATAGTTTGAAATACATGATCAAAGGAAAGATTAAGAGTGAAGGAATCTGCATCAATGTGATTAATTTTGAGCAATATCCTACATTATCAACCAATGGTTATAATAACATTGCTGAACGTACTTACAATACAGAACACAAATACTGTCAACGGTAATTCATAATAACTTGTCAATGACTTACCTACTTCAAAACTGAATTCATTATTCACCAGGATTATATCAAGTAGTATCAAACCTGTTTGATTTAAATCTGAATTTTGTGATTGAGTAAAAATGAAAATGCTGAAAACGATAGATATGTAGTCATAAAATACGACATGATATGTAATACTGAATAATTATTGAAAAGAAAACAAGCCTTTAATATTAGGTCACATTTCATGTTTAAAACTAAAAATGATGAATTTTTCAAACACAGATAATAATTAACTATTTCGTTTACACTTTTATATGTAAGAATAAAAAATTTATAGATCAGGATTAAAATTGTATCACTGATGTTAGTTATCAAGTCAATGTTTAATTTTCATAAGCTATTTGATAAGACAGTAAATAAAGAAATGATTCAGGCGAAAGGGATGGTTCGTAAAATAAAATTGTTTGATTAACCGATTCTTGCAGAGTTGAAACTGTAGCTAACCACATAATTCAAAATTTACTGAATGTAATGTCAATGGTTTGCGGATGCTCGCTTTACTACAATAACTATTCGGTCTCTTAGGTTGTAATATGTTTTGTCTGATACTCTAGATCCATATATGACCACTCTAAAATCTCAAACTTGATTTTCCACAAAGGATAGTCTTCAAAAACGGACATATATTCATTTAAATATTCAAGTCATGTGTGCCAATAAACAAAATGAAAAAACTCGAAGCTTCATATAATTCTAATTAAATCAGAGTTTTGATTACGACCGAAGTGTTTTTTCATTTAATATTATACTAGTTTATAATCTTCTGTGAAAGATTGCTTGACATAACATCCATATATAAGTTGTTTAAACGCTTTTTGAAATATCAAAAACTACAAAATTTCACAATAGTTTACATTAACCTTGCTTGCCAGCGAAATATATACATATAAATGATTTCGGATCAATGGAAATAGAATTTTATGAACTAATTCCATAATATGAAAATCTTTTGAAAATCATACTTATAAGAATAATGCAACACCAAAACTTTGATGACCAATTTTGGATGTTACAACAAAACTGTTGCTGTACCTGACCCTAGCTGACACCTTGATGTAGTGGTCAGGCTTGCATATTGCGAAGACCGAAACACGGCACAAATCTATGAGGTTACTGACAAGTGAACTGAGTCATGTTGGTAAATGTAGAATAGCTGGTTGGGATCCGCGAGATGACAGTAATCGATGGTTAGAGACCCTGAATGACATGACTCAAAGTCCTTTGCAATAACGTAGGTGTGTCCATTATTTGTGTTCTCTGAAATCCTAATCCTCTGGATTCTTCATCAACTTTCTCTTTCTCTTTCTAAGTTCTTTTCATTAGATTATGCTTCTTGAATAATATCTTCACACCCTAATCTTTTTGACAGCTGCTCACAGTTCTACTACCTCTACTACTATGGGATTCGACCTGACAATGGCGTCTCTGTGCTAATGTGGAGTGGCAACTTGAAATAACGTATGTACGTATGAAGTTCTATATTGTACCTGACTGACTGGCTGACTGTTTCTGTCAGCATAATACGGGTTTTTGAAATTCCATAAAGTCATTAGATTGTGTTATCTGCATTGTAATATTTAAAATAGCTTTATTAAAGTGGCTTTTTTTAAGCATTTATGTCCGAAACATATAGCCAAAAGAAAGAAAGATATTAAGTTGAAATTATGAAAATGTAAATAAAACAACCCAATTCAAAGTTAATTTTAAGAAAGACACTGTTTGAAAATCTAAACATACGCGTTTTGTTTAGAAGGTTGATTAATAATCACTGATATAATAATACCCGAATGTCTTCCATATTCTGTAATCAAGACAGGGAATGCCTAAAAAAAGGGCAACAGATAAAATAGAATGTGCATTAAGTTGAAAGAATTAATCTCAAAGTATCGATCAAGTTTTATTGGCTTCCTTATTCACTAATAACTTTCCCCAAACGTCAGATTGGTTTGTAAAAATATTTACTCCTATATGCTTGCAGATTTGTGGTTGATTTACTAGTATGGTGAGTATATCTGTAGCTTAAGTAAACGTCTCAAACTTCAAGAAATTTTAGGCAGGAACATTTTTAAACTTTAATTTTATTAATACAAATAGATCGGCTTTTGCACTGTTTATAGAATCTCAAACTACAACTACTAATAGAGAGATGAGAGTTCATACATATTCTAGTGGCTGAAAGACAACATTCTGTAGAATTACAAACGAGTACAAAAACTATCCTTCAAAAATGTTTTTGAATATTTTAAACAGCTTTGAAATACTTTTAACTAGTTCTCAAAATATTAGATTCTATGTTAAAAACCACTTCTTCCCCACTCATTTTCAGTGGTAAGTGATAATCTGTATTGCTGAGTATCCAGTTTAGAAGATGATTACATTTTCAGAATTATAAATAAACAAGACATTTTTGATGTATTCTAGGGAGGAAACAATGAAATGATATGTTAGATAAGTGGTAATAACTTGGTTGCTAACTGAGCTATCATCAGCATCATTTACTTTAGAAGTGACATAACCTGTAGTAAACTGCCATATAATACATCGATTTACTTGTCTTAACAAGTAGGCGTTGATTTAAGGCTGACGCAACAACTAGTACTTATATTTAGCAAACTATCATAAATAATTTCTGAAATCATTGGAGCATGACAGGAACTAGTTAAAACTAGTAAAACGATCTTTATGACATTAAAATTACACAATTTCCACTATAAGATCCCCATACTAAACACACTGGACACTGATAAACATACAAGTCTAACTTTTAAACTGTCAGGAATCTTCATCAATGCTGAAGTCAGAAAACACAGTTCCATCTCGGATAATCATGCGAGCATAATCTTATCCTAAAACCTACTTCAAAACTTGATTATCACTTCCGCTGACTCCGTTTTTGTAGGGTGATGTCAAAGTTTGCTTCGAAATACCTGGAAATGTATCGAAGAAACAAGAGTCGTGAGAAAGGAAGTTGGTCGTTTTATAGTAGCTCGTGAGAAAGATATTTGATTTAAATTTGTTAAATTCAGTCATCTAGATACTATTACATCTACATTCACAAATACATTAAGGTGTATATATCTATGCTGAAGATGTTGGATATAAGGCTATCAAAAAGAAGAGTGAATCGACAATTTATTGGAAGTGTCTAATTAGTTTAAATTTAGCATGAGGGTAAAGACAAAGCTACTCATTTACACACATTCCTCCTGAAAGACAGAACTGTAAGAAAAAGCTACACTTTCCACTCTGAAATGACAATAAAATTAATGCAGGATTTCTCCAGAAGATCGCCAAAAAATATTGAATAATTTTTAAACCCATCCACAACTACTGGTCCACAGAACAACGCGAATTCAAAATGACTTACGACTTCACAAATGTCTTCTGATACTTCTGATTTGTCGCTGATTGTTTGCCTACTTCTGTCTGACTTATTATCGTTATAAAACTGTCCAGGTAATCTTGATGAGTACATATTTAGATACTTTTGCACAGCACATGTTAGGTTGCTTCTGAAAGCCATTACATGAACTTAAGTAGCAACACGAGTATTTCACACGGTTAATTGTAATTCTGTTAAATTCCCTCAACACTTTAACGTTCAATATTCAATACACTTTTCGAACATATATCCAGTATCCAATATATTTTTCACGAGCTTCTATAAACCAATTGATTTCTTTGCACTTGGTTCTTGTTCTTTTGGTAGTGTTCAATCAATGAGGGTCTAGTCACCTGACTATTTAATCCTAGTCATTTGGCAGTTGGTTGTGAGTTTCTATGTCCCATGATTTAAATGAATACGTTTGTTTCAGGACAGTAGGGTTTCTGAAAAGCAACAGCTATCACACTATAATACCTAAAATCAGTTAGTAGCAATGTGGAGAATAAGAAGGAAAAATTCTAATGCTAATAAGAGGGGGATAAATAGATAATTTAGTTTATTAACTGGTAATGAAGATTGTGAGAGAGGGCCGAAGTGTAAGCAAGGGAGAGGAATCAGAGATATTAGACAAGATAGAATAAGTTAGTGTGCTCGGTTGATAATAAGCTAATTAACGTGACAAAATATAAAGTAAGACTTGATATAAGTATTAGTTTAGGCAGCAATAGTTTAGAATAATGTGAATAAAGTCACAACTGATAGCAGATAGAGGTCATCGTGTAACAAGTCGTGAGAATCGTACACATGTGGTTACGATAGACTGATTATGAAGAATTGAGCTAGTTCAGCAACTGTAACAAACATCCGTTTGCAATTAAATGTTGTGCAGCAGTAAAATTTAAATATCTTAAATATGTCAGGAGGTCAATCATTTTCATGCCAATATATATAAACTTAAATGCCCTTTGAATATTTACCTGGCAAAAATAGTAGGAATAAGAATAATGTGTGTGTGGTTTGCGTCTTTTCCTTTAGCCTAGGGGTTTCCGACTTAGGGTTTGTCTCGTGATGCAGCTGTTTGATTTTCACTATCCAACTCAAGTGAAATTTTCTAATTTCTTCCTCATCTGGAAACCGGTTTTTTCTCTTCCAAAGTGGCTTGTTGCTGAAAAAAATTTCTCAGAGATCTGCCAAAAAATTAAAGCGACGATAAAGAAGTATCCTGGATGCGAAATAAGAAAGTCTTAGAAAAGTAAGTAGATTGTGTGAAATAGTGTCAAAGGCCTGCGTGAAAATGAATTATCACTGGCTTTCATACTTTTCTACAATGGGTAATTCAATCGAAAATGTTCAAGTATGACATGGAGCATGAGCATCTGGATATAAACCTACATTGAGAAAAGCTGTTCAAGCTATACAAAAGCAGGAACGACGAAGCAATCGGCCTTTTATCAGGAATATAGCTTAGAAATCCTACTTTTCATCTATGATTATGAGCAACATATAGCTAGTTTTGCCAAACTGAACAGTTTTAAGCAGGATAATGGGCTTTCCATACTACGACATTTCTAGAGCGATGCTGCGATACCACCCGGCAAAAAGTTTTCAGACTTTTTCAGGGAACATATATCATGAATGATGTGGATGTACGTAAAATTTACAGCGGAAGGATCCCGACATGCCAAAATTTGACATGCATACATAAATGTTTCAGTTTCTCTATAGTGGCAACATAAGTAATTGTTTGAAACGTTGGAAAATAATATTAGAATTGCCTACGATATTGTTGTTAATTATGAATTGTATTAAGAGAGTTCGATTTATTACAAGATTCAAAAAACAGAATGGCTGATAGGATCTGATATATGCTACTTAATGCTTTCTGCATTATTAACTAAAGTTGCTTGCTTTTACGTGATTTATTGACCCTAATTAAGTAGAGTATGTTCCGGAGCGAAAGCGAACTGTGGCATTTGTAGCAGTGTTACCTAAGTTTTCTTAGGTTTCACTATTTTAGCGTAATGAACGGCGCGAACAACATTTGATGCTATGCAGTCAAGGTAAAATGTTGAGTTACAGCATAAGTCAAAATGTGCAGCATCCAAAATATTTTTGGTTATTCAAATGGTAAACATCGAATAAGAATTTCTGAGTGGTTCTAATTTACTTGGTTGAAATGCCTACTATGTAAATCTGATTCAGCATCAGTGCTTGATATAAATAGCGCCTAAAAGTAGAAATTTACTCAAAATCAACTCTATGGGAGCTCATAAGTAATTCATAACCAACTCTCATTAAAATCGGACTGAAGTTGATGGTAAGCATTGTGTCACCGTTTTTACTAAATGATGGCACCCACAAAATTCTGTTATTTCGTAACAAGTAACATTTTAGGGATTACAAAGAATAAAAAGGTTTCAAGATAATTGATTTTGCCGAAGAGAATAAGAGAAATGTTTGAAAAGGAGAGAAGCCGAGAGGTTGCAAGCTTAGGAGACATCTTTGGAGTCCAACACATAAACTTATCTGATGTATTTGTGCAACAAATAACAGTTTGTAATTACAGTCATTTTTTAAGTTTGCTGTAACATATTTCAAACGTTTATCTGTATGGTTTCCACTCCTTTAAGATAATCTTGCAATTTGGGTCGAGTCGCTTTCGACGGCGCAGGTGCATCCACCCTTGGGATTTCTTAAATTCTAACCTTCTAAGACTCCTCATCGTCTCTATCTTTCGCATTCGGAATTTATCTTACGGGATTATACTTCTCGAATCAAATCTTCGAACCCTAATCTTATATATAACTGATAATACTTCTACTATCGCTACCACTACTGAATTAGAACTGACAGTTGCATCTCTGTGCTAATGCGGTATGGTAATCTGAAACGATACACTTACGTACGAAGTTCTGCATTGTATATCTCTCTCTCGCTCTCGAGTCGAGTGCTGTTAGGCAGTTTTCTCTTGGTTTACAAGGTCCAAAGATATCAATGTCCAATACATTGTCAGTTATACAGTTCTTATTGCATTTTCGGTCGTTGACAGTTTCACGGTCTTCACAAATGAGTGTTGAAATAAATCAAAACTTTGGAAGCATTATCTGAGCTGTTATTAGCACAACTTTTGAAGACAGGACCTGATAAACATTTTGAGAGGAAAAGACGCCGTTTACATTAGGATCACATTCTACTGCATTTTAAGTTGCAATTTACTTTGGTGGGTTTGTAATGGAATACTTTTAAAAAGAGAACACGATTGGTGAAATGGAAACAATCATTATTGTACCCAATAGTATTAATGATCGTCTAACAGTACGCTTCGCCTGTTACACAATTTTACGCGTAACTTACTGTTTGTGCTGTTGCCTTCTTTGATGTGGCTGCTCATTATTTCACTCACATTCCTGAAGGAATTTTGGAGTTCTTTCGACATCACAAAATCACAAGCAAATATATTCTTTACCCTGGATTTATTTATCTTCTCAGTAACGAGTTAGTAATTAGTATTTGGTGCCGATCATAGTCAATCTCGACAGGACTTACTCACTTAAGTTTTGCCAAGTATTAAATACTTGTATGGCTAGCAATTCTTTCAGAATCGGCTTTCATTCCATGACTTTATGAGTTATAAATGAGTGATATCTTGATAATAGTAGTCCGAAATATGTTTCTTAAACCTTTTGTTGACAAAGTGTTCATTCTGATAGAATCCTAACGTCCCTAAAAATCTATTTTTCTCTGATTGCATTCTTAAAACTCACACATTCACTTACTTTCGCTGATCTTTCGAATTTCAAAAGTACCGATGAATTATTATTAGGGTGACAATTTGGGTTAGAGTTAAGACTTCAGATGTATCATAACTCTGGCGTTTAGGAGGAATTATGAATTGCTATTTGACTGACGTAGGCTACAGTAATCGATACTTCGTCGGATATCAAATCCATGGGTTTTACCACGCAAACAGATATGTACCGAATCACCAGTATATATTTTGCATTATTATTTATTTCATGTTATATTTGATAAATTCCACAAAGTAAAGAAACCGAGGAGATTCTATCGGTGGTTAATTATGTGGCAAGCCAGACCGTCACCTACAGACCCCTGGTCATGACAAAAGCTTGCCGACTGGCACTTGACAACCTAGTTTTCGCTAAGCATGATTTTGATAGTTTACTTGCTATATGTATTACTTCGTCTTTCTCACAGTCCTTAAGACTCCTCTCTCCCTTTCTGTTCGCAGAAAGATGGCATTTGTTGGAGACGACATGGCGATTACGGAGCAGCAACGGCATATATCCAATGTTCCGCCTCCGAACTCGTATACGGCACGACATCGCATCTGCCTGGGGAATTTCCCACACCACGGAGCAGCGATTTTATGTATACCACATAACGTCCAATGACTATCAGCGTAGATGCGAACACTGTCTCTGGTGTGAAGCCGAATATAGCATAGACAGGTCGCGCTCCGTCGAGAGTTATATATCTGTTCATATGTTTTCTTACGAGCGGATTTAGTACGCAATCCTATGCAACAGCCTTACAGAGGATTTTATCATGTGATCGATCGTCACAAAAAGACTTTCAAAGTTGATGGACATAGTTAGCTTTGATCGTCTCATACCAACACACGTCCATGACAGTGCCCTACCCGATAAATCTAGATTTATTGATGGACTGGTCCAACGTACAGGCGGGATACATATTTCTCCTTCAGATCCCACGCTAGATGCATCAGAAACCTCATTCTCACGTCCCAGTCAACAGCACGCGTCATACGTCTGCAGGGTTCTCCGGTCCGAGACCCTACGAATAAAATCTTCAGACTCTGGATACTATTGTGGTACGCTAACTCGAGCAACAAACATACTACATTACCACTTGTACCATTAATTTAAGACCTACGGGTCAACTCGAGCATCATAAATCGCTTCTTGTCCAGTAACACTTCCGTCCCACAGTCACACATTCGCCGATCAGTAATCCGAACGAAACCGCAACGTTTTTTTTACCCAATCGAAAATCCATCACATCAAACAATAAGTTCGTTTTCAATGATAGTAATTAAATGAAAATGAATCATAAAGCTTATTTCCTGTTTCAGCAAGTATATCTCATGCTTAGAAGAGTATGTCGATCACTTTGATGTTGTTCTTATTAACAAGCTACTACATATGCAAAAACAATTACACTATCCTACAATGGTCAGGACAATAATAATGGTAAATGACAAACAAAAAGAAAAACAAAGTTAAAAATAAAAAAAGCGGGTAAACACATACAGAGGAGGACATTCGTAGGTTATTAGTATTCGATTATAGATGTCTCCGAAGCATTGTTCGTATATCCTAGGACGCAATGATATCGTTAAGAAAGGATTACTAGGAGGGGATGGAAAATCAACTGATGAAGTATTGAAACTTCATCAGTTGAGGTGGTTGGGAGATGTGTTACGTATGCCTGACCACCAAATGACTCAACGAGCTTTGTTTTGCGATGTAGGAGTAGGTTGGAAGAAAGTTAGGGGCGGCCAAAACAAAACATGACAGAAACCCATGAACTCACTGACAAGTGAACTGAGTCATGTAGGTAAATGCAGGCCACCTGTTTGGGGTCCGCGAGACGAGTCTCCGATGGTTAGAGACCTTGAACGACATGACTCAAAATGGTTTGCAATGACGCAGTTGCATCCACTCTTTGTGTTCTCTCAAATTCTAATCTTCAGAATCCCTCATCATCTCAATCTTTCCCCTTCTAAAGTTATCTCACTGAACTATAGTTCTTGAATAAAACCTACGATCCCTAATATTCTCCATCTCTGCTAACACTTCTACTCTCTCTATCACTATAGGATTTAAACTGACGGTAGCGTCTAACGCGGTGCTAATGCGGTATGACAACTTGAACTGATGATACGTACGCACATACCAAGTTCTACATTGTAACTCACTGACCGACTAAAATGAAAGCAAAAAAACACTCTGCACACAACATGAGAATTTTTATTCTCTTTTTTTCAAACATTCTCTTAAATAAATATTAATGGAATGCTTGTTTCTTTTTTATTTTAGTTAGGAGATCAATTGACAATGACCAATCAGAAGAAAAGAAGAAGAGTATACAAATATAACACACTCTTTATCTGTCTTTTTACATTATGATTATTATTATCATTATTATTAATGTTAATTTTTTTTAAAAAAAAAAGAAAATTATAACATTGGAATTATCTTGTTCGTGTGTGTGTGTGTGTGATAGATAAGCGTACAAAAAAAAGCAACTATAGTAGGACAATAGACTTTAGAAGGAACAAAAATATCAATAGGTTATAGGATAGTTTCCTTATACGTAGGTACGAATGTATACATACAAACAAATATAAGAATGTTTTAAAAATAAATTTACAAGTACACAAGAGAAAGTGTTTGGTTGAGAGAAGTGTGAAATCTCATCTATCTAGGAAAGACTGTAGTAATTAATGTTGAACAGAAAAAACAATGGGGGGGGTGGGCAAAATAAATTGAAATTTGAAGAAGAAGTAGTAGTAGTAAACAAAAACGTAATTCAAATTCACAAATCATAAATTAGATACGGAAAAGTATATATAAAAAAGAAAATTAATTTTCATAATTTAACAAAGAGTCTTTTATTTTGGAAAATTTATATTATTAATAATAATAATGATAATCGTACGATAAACTAATGTTGACGCGTTCACATTAATGGAGTGCTATTAGAAATGAGATAATTTTGACGAAGAAAAATGCTAATAAAAGCGGCTCGTTTAAGCTGTTTAACTGCAATAGCACCTTTTTGAATTGATGTAGTTGTGCTGGATGCGGAATCAAGAAATAATATTTCACCAAAACATGGAGCTATGAAAAGGAACAAGAAGAAAAAAGAAACACAAGGTGAGTAGTGAATTGAATCCGTTGAACTGCAATAAGAAACAATTTGAAATGATGAATCGAGATCAATGTTAGACCACCACCATTAGAAAGCTGGATGTACTGAAAGACAGCTGTTTCGTCCTGGTATGTGACTCATTAGCATTGATCGATTGATTGATGATCTCAAATGTGTAACTTAACAATCTTCAGAACTTTGTAAGGCGGTAACAAAGAAGTAAATTAGGACTTAATGCAAAGACAGCTTTCCTGAAATCGACGGTACGACAAAATCCACATCTTATTTAACAAGTACAAAATTGAATCACACAACAAATATGTGGTATAGTGACACTATCCCATTACCACATTGAAATAGAAAGAGCGCGCTTCTAACCTATAATTCCATAACTCAAAGTCAAACATATTTAGCATTGAGCCAACGCTTCGATCGGTCGACTTAGTAATTTTCATACTCGGAAGCGGCTTATTCATTAAAAGTTAATTTAAAAATCACTACTACTACACTTCAACATGTGACAGTTACATATGAGAGATTATAGGGACCTTAAATATTTGATCTTTTTATTTCTGAGTTTAATAATTAAACTTCCTTACTTGCAGATACTTTACACTAATACCATCCCTTGTCAACTTAACTCATTTGAATAATATCTAGCCGAAATATTCATATAGTATTAATGAATACAAAACTGCCTGGAGCCCATCCTGTCTACTACAGGTCCCAAGCCCGAATAACACTATGGAGGCTTCTCAACACCACAGTGTGCCTGAGAAGATAGTCAACATCATACGCAGTTCTTACAGTGCATTAAACTGCAAAGTCGTGCACGGAGGTCAACTGACACACTCGTTCGAGGTGAAGGCTGGTGTCAGGCAAGGTTGCTTACTCTCACCCCTTCTCATTCTCCTGGTGATCGACTGGATTATGCAGACATCAACATATGGAAGGAAACACGGTATCCAATGGACAGCTAGGATGCAAATGGACGATTTGGACTTCGCAGACGACCTGGCTCTTCTATCGCACACGCAACAACAACTGCAAGAGAAGACGACCAGTGTGGCAGCAGCTTTTGCAGCAGCAGGTCTCAACATACATAAAGGAAAAAGCAAGATTCTGCAATATAAAAACACAAAATGCGCCAACCAAATCACTCTTGATGGAGATGCTTTGGAGGTCGTTATAACCCTTACGTATCTGGATAGCATCAGTGACGAGTGAGGTGGATCCGATGCAGATGTAAAGGCGCAGATCAGCAAAGCAAGAACAGCATTTCTACATTTGAACAACATCTGGAACTCAAAACAACTATCAACCAACATCAAAATCAGAATTTTCAATACAAATATCAAGACAGCTCTACTGTATGGGGCGGAAACGTGGAGAACTACCAAAGCCATCATCCAGCAGATACAAGTGTTTATCAACAGTTGTCTACGCAAAAAACTTCGGATTCGTTGGGCAGACAAAATCAACAACAACGTACTGTGGGAGAGAACTGACCAGATTCCAGTGGAGGAGGAAATCAGGAAGAAGCGGTGGTAGTGGATAGGACACACACTAAGGAAAGCACCTAACTGCGTCACAAGACAAGCCCTCCCTTGAAACCCCCAACGTCAAAGGAAAAGAGGAAGGCCAAGGAACACATTACGCCGAGAAATAGAGAAAGATATGAGAAGAATGAACAAAAATTGGACAGAACTGGAAACGGAAGCCCAGGACAGAGTTGGTTGGAGAAAAATGGTCAACGGCCCATGCCCATTTAGGGTTAACAGGTGTAAGTAAGTAAGTAATAGTGATAGTAATAATGAGGCGGTAGATGGATGTAAAGAAACAAACAGAATAACCGATCAGCTAAAATGATTTATCCCAAGTACAGAAATCACTTATATAAGAAAAAAAATTAACAAATACGGGATTCTAATTTCATGCATCAATAACCGACCCATAGAAATGAGGTGTGATTATCGGATTTACTTGTTCTGATCGAATCAACATTATGCACATCAAGGACTAATCTTAGTCAGACAAGCACTGAAAACCAGGAAGCATTGGACGACTGTTTTATCGTAATGAATGATTAATCTGTCGTCGTCTATGAAGGTGGCATAAAATAGTTTAGTGCTACCTAGTTTTAAATGGATGTCGAATGAACAAAAAATCACTAATCTTGTCAAAATTCGTATAATAGCCAAAACGCTGTTTACTGTACTTACCAAGTAGATCAATATCTGTACCGTTCTGTTCTTTAAAAACCAAACAACGTTGCATGAATGTGATAAGATAATAAAATAAATTTTGATTACAAATAGGAAGAAGTTGTAAAGCCTGTTGAATTTAAGAGAAATGAAAAAAAACATATTTTTACAAGCGATAACGTATTGGTTATATAAATTATAAAAGCAATAGAAAAGATCTGAATCGCTTCAACCAAGTGATTAATTGTGTAAGGTATACAGTTCAATTTATTTTTACAGGAAATAATAACGCTGATATTATCAAGTCATTTAATTGAATTTACTATGAAAATATATATGATAAAGTTAAAGGCCAGTCAACAAAATTGACTGCCAAGCAAGATTTAATTCAGTTTACAAGTTGAAGTAGGTGTGTGCAAACTTGAGGTTAAAAAATTGTAACAAAATGTAAAACAAATGGAAAGTTTCTTACAATCCCAAAAATATTTGATTAATATACACAGTGATATCCAGTTAAGTCAACAGCAAGAGGTGAAATGCTGGTACCCGGGTTACTTTCGAGCAGCATATTTTGTGTGGTGGTGCAGAATAATTTTAATTGACTGAGTTACGAATTTTATTAGCTCAAAAGCAGATTACAAATCATTAATAAGTGTTAATCTTCACTCAAGTAAGCAGATGTTACGTGCATGCACGTAAACATGTCACTTGATATACTTGAATTATTACGAGTTTACCATAGTTGGAAAATGAGAGTGTAGATCGAGGATCCGGCAACACGACATGCTACTCTAGTCCGAGTGTCCCCAACCCACATTGAGTAAAAGAAGAAGACTTGATTTGAAGTAGAACCTGTATTCTACAAGCATCCAGAAAGTACAAGATCCGAGTACAGAAGAGAATCAGGATCCCGGACTAAGGATCCGGGTCCGGGGCATAAAACGTTACAGATAATACGTATTTATACAGTTAGGTCGAACAAGAAACAACACGGAAATCTATGACACTGACAGTTTGGATGACCAATAAGAAACAACATTTGAAGTATATGACATTGATAGTTGAACAATTACTTTAACATCTAAAAATATGAAACATGCAACGTCGCTTGTCCAACTAGTGATCACGGTTACTGTGTAGACTGTAACTTAAATAATCTGCATCTGCCTACATAGCTCAGACCATTTTTCACTAACTTGGTGAGTTGAAGGCTGATTTTCAATTAACTGCTTTTAACTCTCCTTTGACTCATTTCTACACTGGTAAACATCAACTGTATGTATAGGTAGCCGATGGTTAAATATACCATATTTCAATTGATAAATACTCACTACCACATTAATCGATATCTATCAACTTTGTCTAGTACCAACCGTATCAATCAAAAAATCAAAATCATCCACTTCATTATTCCACAATAAATAAGAAATTGTTTTAACGATGATTAGACAATTAAAAATCAACAAGCTCAGCATGTTCACTACTTCATCGATTAAAATGACAAAAGCTTAAACAAAAAAAAAACCACACAATATAATCAACAACTCATGTTTGTAGTATATTTATATAAATATATTTTCACTATTGATTAGATTCGCTGTATACAGTATAATTAATTACAATGAGAGACAGTAGCTATCCGTATACGTACACAAAGGAAACAACAATAACAACAACAACACAACTACACCAACAGTACAAATTACCTACCTGTGCAGCTGATTCAAAATTTGCTAATGAATTAAAACATTTTTCATGAAATTGTTGTGGTATCACAGAATCCGGTAGTGTAGTTAAAAATAATAATAAACTCGATGTAATTGAATGTACACATATTGTGTCAGCTAAAATCAATAAGACATAATAATAATAATAATAATAATAATAATAATAATAATAATAATAATGGTTGCTGTTGTTGTTATTCTTATTGTTACAGAAAAAACAAATAAAAGACATGTATACACATGAACAACGAGAGAATACATACATAAGTATGTACACACATACATACATAAATGAATGACTCAAAGTGAATTACTGAGAATAATCTAACGACTACTACTACTGTGGTGTGAGCTACTTATAAGTAGTATATGACGTGAGTGTCAACGTAACGTCTAGCAGCAGAAGATGGGAGAAGATCAAGAAAGGAAGAGTTAGAACACAATGGAATTTGTATGAAACGCATGAATAGTGGTGAAATGTCAGACAATGGATTGAAGATTTGCAAATTAACGGTTACGATATGGTTTTCCTATTTTACCAATTAACTAACTCTGTAATTTGCGATTAAATACAATTCGGTTGCCCTCACCTGTGTTCTCCTTCACTACACTATTACTATTACTTAGTAATAAGAAATTAAAACTTATATTATATATATATATATATACATCACAGTGTATTACTTACGAAATGGACAACTAGCTGGAGTAGTATCCAATAGATCACGTATAATACCAATATCAGAAGATGGACCCATTTGACGAAATAGATCAGGCTATTTGTTTGTTATTGAAAAAAAAGTGATAAGACAAATAAATAAAAGAGTATATTGTACATGAAAATTGTAATTGATATTTGACTACTAATTATTATGCTGAAAACTAATATAATGTGTTTATTACTTACTTACTTATGCCTGTTACCTCCAAAGGAGGAGCATAGGCAGCCGACTAGTATTATTCAACCTACTCTGCCCTAAGGCTACCACCATCCCAGGTCTGTCCAGTTTTCATTCATTCTTCTCATGTCTGTCTCCATTTCTCGGCTTAATGTGTTCCTTGGCCTTCCTCTTTTCCTTTGACCTTTAAGGTTCCAAGTGAAGGCTTATCTTGTAACTCAGTTGGGTGCTTTTCGCAGTGTGTGTCCTATCCACTTCCACCACTTCTTCCTGATTTCCTCCTCCATTCGAATCTGGCTTGTTCTCTCCCAAAGTAGGTTGTTGCTGATAGTGTCTGGTCAACGAATCCGAAGTATTTTGCGAAGACAAAACAAAATATTTTCTTTCGTAGTTATCACAAACTATGGGGGCTGCATTGAACTCAACGTAGAGCCTACAACTTCAGTGGCACGTGAGCTGACTCCTTTCAAAACTAACTCCCCCCATTTCAATTTCCATATTTCATACTTAGGTCAACATCGTTTGTGCAATGGCAGTAATCAGAAGCCAAATACAGACTAAGCGACGAGGCGGCTGTCAGCTTCTTCTTCTGCACAGACTGAGCACTAACTAGAGGGACAACCCCCGTACCTGACTTAACACCACTACCAGCAACACCCACAGGCTTCTTCACCAATCCAACAGCACCCTCTTCACTCGAATCCGAGTCGGAACTCGACGATGCCGGCTTCCCAACAGCCTTCTTACCATCAACAACCACACCGGCATATTTACATAGTCAGACAAAATAAGCTAAACATGTAACAATCGAATTAAGCAGTGGACCACACATACTCGAATAGAAACAATCAACATAAAAGCGAATAGTTGGCAAGGTCGGAGTATGTGTGGATTAACTTGAGAAAAATGGATTGATTAAACTGTCCAAAGGCTGAGACAAACCCCTGTAGGTTCACCGAAACAGTACACACACTACAACTGACCTGTTGTAATCTAAAACACATGGCTTATGAAGCATGTTTCAAAAGATCGACGGTTATGTCATCAGTCTGATGAGTTTTGATAGTGAACATTGATAATGTTAGACGAAGTAATGGAATATATCAATGAAGAATAAAATAGAACTAGATATATGTACAAGGATAAATGTGATATATTCCACGTTTATCAATTTATAGTGTAAAACATTCCCCGGAATGGACGATGAGCTATGTTGTGAGACATGCAAGTTCTAGACGTAACTTGCTATGGTGTTTGTAGTTGTGTTAGGATATTCATCCAATATCCTAAGATAATTATTAGTCAATTCTTATTAATTCCTACTGGTCACTTTTATGGTCGTCTTAGATATAAATGTCACGTGCTCCAATGTTGTTTCTTATTGGTTGTACTGACTATCAATGTCACGTGTTCAAATGTTGCTTCCTATTGGTCGTCTTAACTGTCAATGTCACATACTTCGATGCTGTTTCCTATTCGACCAAAATGTATAAATACGCACTATCTGTAACGTTTTATGACCACGACCAGGACCCGGTCCCGGATCCCTAGTCATGCATCCTGATTCTCTTCTGCATTCGGACCTCGTACTTTCTGGATGCTTGTAGAGTACAGGTTCTACTTCATATCAAGTCTTCTTATTTTTACTCAATATGGGGGTTGGGATAATCGAATTCGAGTAGCATATCGTGTCGCCGGATCCTCAACCCTCGCTCTCGTTTTCCGACTAAGTAAACTCGTAATAGTTCAAGCGTACATCAAAATGACGTGTTTATGTGCAGGCGTAACAAGTAGTAATTTGATATCATTACATATACTGCGAACGATAACTATTCACAAATCCTAGTTTCATTGTGATAAAATGCCTTTTTTTGAATGATTTTCTGCATTATTTGATGCTTTCTACTTACCTCTGTTATATGTTCATTTATACAATTGATAAGACGAAAAATTTCTTTTGGTACATGAAATGGTTTTTGATCAACTAAAATGGCTAGTTTTGTTTTGAAATAATCATTATCTTCTGAACGAGCTAACTTTACCTAGGAGAAAAAACAAACGAATTTATAAGGAAACTGAGGCTGATTAGATAATGAGTACAGTAAATGTAGTTTAGTTGCAGCCAAAAAAAACAGCTTGTGAAGCTAACGCGCGCTAGAATTTAACAGGGAGAATGAAATTTTTCAAGAGTATAGGTATTTCTCTTAGAAACAAGTAACAACCAGTACGAAAGATATAGTATTCTGTTGATTATATTCACTTACCTAAAACAGCAAAATAGTGTGTCGGTGGATTGCTTTGAAGAACAAGGAGTACCCGATTTTGGCATACACTGTAATTTTTTTTAGTTATGATGATGAGTTGTACTTGAGTCACTTATGTATTTAGTTATATACACTTTTGAGTCAGATGAACCTTCAGACATAGAGGTTGGTAAAACTATCAATCTTCTTATCTCTTATTGAGCCTTAGCTAGGAATTTTTTCTGAGTAGCCAGTTAGTGCTGTCTAGAGCAAACCATTTACCCAAGTAATTAGAATAATTGATTACAAACGAACCCAAGCGAAACATTAATAAGGTCATGTCAAGTCTCGAATCAAATCCATAAGATATCTAACGTCACTGCTAATGGGCATCAGAAGTCATGCACAGAATACTAACCAGATTGAGGACTTTACCGTGAACAACAATCGGCGAAGCAAATGTTCAAAGAATAAAAATGAGGAGTTATCTTTAAAATATAAATTTTACATCTACAGAGTGATTCTTCACGTACTTACTCGAAATCTGTTGGGATGTTCACCAAATATCCTAAGAGTACTATTCTTAGAAGTATAATCCTATTGGTCGATTTCTATTGATCAAAATTATGACCGTTTTAACTGTCAAAGTCAAATACTTCAATGCTGTCTCTTACTGGTCATCCGGGCTGTCAATTTCAAATGTTCTTTCCTATTGGTCGTCCTAAACTGTCAATGTTACAGACTTTGATGCTCTTTTCTATTCGACCTTAATGTATAAATACGCACTATCTGTAAGACTCCAGGATTCCGATTTCGATTCCGTTTCTTCCTGCCTAACTCTCTTCTATACTCGATCCAATTAACAACTCCATCCCACGGTATTGCGTTCTGATAATTGAGGAGATTTGTAAATAGTATTTGGGTCGTACTGGGATATTTGAATTTGGACGCCGCTAGGACTGAATAGCTAGCTATACGTAGCAGCGTTATAACAAAGCCAAAGGAAAACAGTAACTGTAAGAGTTTTTAAGGGCTCTGTCACTTTTGATATCTGAGACAGAATTTAGTTAGTCGTCTAGCTTAGAGTATTGAAAGATTACGTGAATGAATGCTTTAGTGTTGCTTGTAGGGTGAACTTTTTTAAACAATTCGTTGATATCAAGAGGCGTATTATATGGTCTGGGGAAGAACAGAACACACACACACATCCGTCTGAATAACCCGAATGAATAATCATATTTAGTTCGCAAGCTACCACCATATACTGGGTTCAATTTTCAATGCATTCTTCATCATTATTACCTAAAATGTTTGCACTTACTAGTTAAACTCATTTTAAGGTTACATACTCTTGTAATTGGCTTCGAGATATCACTCTAATCTATTCGGTTCTCCAAAATCGAACAAGGTAGGGTACGGCTTGTACTTAAAACATACTGGTTAAAAAGTCATATGGTTTAACAGCTTAACCCTCACTCCTAACCAAAACATGTTAAAACAAACAATGAATAATGCCAAAAAGGCAATCATCAAATCAACCAATCAAATTGTTTTTCTACCTGCTCTTGTAATTCATCAACAGAAAATTGACTAACAGGCTGTGATCCTAAATTTAATAAAACAATCAACGGTAAACCAAAACTTGTTGGTATAAATTGTCCACTAATTGAAATGAAATAATCTTTGCCATCTTCTAATTGCAAGACAACAATAGTAGATAAGTCAATATCACCACCATTTAAAGCATACACTTCTTTATAATTGATAAATATTTGAAATTCTAATTTGGCGGAACTGCCTGAAAAAGGAAAAGAAATACAAATCAAGACAGAAAGGTATGCATAAAGAAAATGCCGGCAATTAACACTCATAGAGAGAGATAAAGTATGATTGTATCTGAGCCTGTACCTGTGACCGACTAATATAACAAGGTTACTTACAGTAAGTACCTAACCAATAATCAATCGCATCCACTAGTGCAACCTCGTCAATGACTTTACAGACTGATGTTGATTCTTGGTTAAACTATCATTAGTTTTTTTTCTAGCCTATTTCTACACCATCAAGCATTCCATTTCGAGGTACGTGTTGGCTGAGCAGGAATAACGTGACTCAATTACCTCAGTCAACGTGGATTCGCAAATCGATCAATCCATATAGAATTTTTTTCTAGTAACAGATAGAGAGAGCATCGTACGGATTAAGTTGCTATTCGACCAGTAGTCTAAGAGGCTTGATATCGTACTCAGCATGTTGAGATATTAGGTGGTTGGAGGTAGTCAGCAGTATATTCTTTTTAAACTAGGCTCCATATTAGTTGGTACTCATCAGTAGTGAGTGCGTAACTGTAATCATGATAGATAAAATATTTCTTATAAGTGTCTTGACGGCTACCTCCAGATAACTGACAACAAACGGAAACTAACCAAAAACATGATAAACGAACTGAATTGTAACTGTCGCTGGACATCAAAAAAGTATATTTCTGTAGAAATGATTGGAATCGTTATATGCAACGTGTCTGTAATCTCAGTTTCAAGAGACAGCCTGTGTCTGCCAGATAGCGATACTAGTACAAATCATTATAAGCTGTAGAAGCCGAAGTTTCCAAACGATTTAGGTACTTATCAAACTTATATGAACAATACCATCAGCCAGCATAGTGCACACTCAGAGGCGGTTGAATAAATTTTGACACAGACATACTAACTACTGTATCAACATTTTCCTGTCAGAATGAAGAAGGAAGGAAGGAAGAAGCGGACTAAAAGGTCGACCACAAAAGCAAAATACCTCATCCTTACCCGGTCGTAAGCCCCCCGCCCAAAACCACATTTAAAGCTACTCATCGAAAACCCGTGTGCGATCGGATTCAAGGAGTTAGTTGTTCAGTGAGAACTGACGTCAAGACTACTCCGAACCTAATTTCATTTACAGAGACCTCAAGAAGAAATACTTCCCTATAACACGAGTCATATCTTCTTCACTATGAAGAAGATTTCATAAAAATGATAATTAAATAAGAAAAAAACCCTTTCATAAAAATCGGTTGCCGTTTAACATTGTACTAATACTGAATAAATTATCCTCCATCACATACCTTGTTTTACACAACCACATGATGGACTAACTGTAAGCCATGATGGAAACGAACCAACACCTTCACGTAAAAATTTAAATTGAAAATCACTGACGCCAATATTAGTTAGAGTTAATGACTGACAGCATAATTCATGAAAATGTACATAACCAAAATCTAATTCTTGTCTATCTAATTCAGCTTGTGGAAGTGATAAATTAGTTGTTAAATCGATACTCAATAAAACAGATTCATAAGTACGTTGAAATGCTGAACGATTAATACGACGTAACTAGATTGAACAAAATAAAACATACAAATATGAGCTATATATACATATATATACATACATACAAAAGTTGTCTGAAGTTTTTGAAAAATAAGCAATTTATCATTCGATAATAGGCATTCGTCGTAGATTTATGACAATTTGGATACCACTAAAAACCGGGGAAAATTAGACATTCGTTTCATTGTAGCATGGGATTCAAAAAAACTATGCACTGACAACTTGTCAACGAGTCATATCCTGCTGCAAACGTTTCGTTATAAGCACTATGCAGTCATAGTCCAATAGGATGATGCTAACCTTGATCAATTTGTGTTAGAGGGCAATGAACATCTAGGACTATTAGTGTCAATCGATCAACAGCTACGTAAAACTTCGTACGTACGTACATCAGTTCAAGTTGCCATACCACATTAGAACAGAGATATAATTGTCAATTCAAATCCCATAGTAGCAGAGGTAGTAAAGGTACTAGCAGTAATCGGAGAGATTAGAGTTCGAAGATATTATTCAAGATGTAGAATCTACTGAAATAAACTTGAAAATTCTCGTAAACTACTTTCTCATACTTACAAACCCTTCCAAAAAGTAATATCTAAGATGAAATGTAAATTGAACTGTCAAGAATTTAATTTTCAAAGTTATCTAGACCAGTAAGATCAGTTTCTTCATGTGTCATGTCAGACAGATAGACAGATACAACGCAGAACTTCGTACGTAAGTACATCAGTTCAGGTTGTCATGCCCCATCCGCAAAGATACGCAACTTTCAGTTCAAGTCCAGGAGTGATAGCAATAACAGAAGTATTAGCAGTAAGGGAGAATATTAGGGATTGAAAATATGATTCGAGAAGTATTATTCAGCAAGATAAATTTAGAAGGAGAAAGGTAGAGACTATGAGGAATGCGGAAGCTTAGAATTTCATAAAACACAAAGAGTGGATGCACCTGCGCCATTGCAAACGATTCTGAGGCATGTCGTTTAAGGTCTCTAACCATTGGTGACTATCGTCTCGCGGACCCCAACCAGCTAGTCTACATCTACCAACATGACTCAGTCCACTTGTCAGTGACTTCATGGATTTGTGCCATGTTTTGATTTGGCCGCCCCTAGCTTTCTTCCAATCTACTCCTACACCACGAAACAAAGCTCGTCGAGGCAGTCGGTGGTTAGGCATCCGCAAAACATGTCCCAACCACCTCAACTGATGAAGTTCCACTACCTAGAACTCGTTTCCTCACGACAGCATTGCTTATACGGTTGTCCCATGATACACGAGCAATGCTTCGGAGACATCGATGATCGAATACTAGTAACCTACGAAAGTCCTCTACTCTTAACGGCCAAGTCTCGCATCCGTACAGTAGGACAGAGAGAACTGCTGCACAGTACACTCGTCCTTTGGTTAGCAAACGGATATCTCGCCTGCGCCATAGGTGAAGCATAACCAGAGCAATGCATACAAAATCAAATAAAATAGATTAAACACATTAAAGGCTAATAAAATTTTGTATAATACACGTTTAATATTGATTGAATACTATAATTATTAGTCAAGGACATTTATACTTTTTTCAAAAAATATTTTAACAGCTTAAACAATTCAGCTTTCAAAATGATCCTTAAATTTGTAAGCATAGAAATTAAGTCATAGTATGTGAATGCATGCATGCATGAATGACCAAAACTTATAATAAACATTCAATATGAACTTGAATTAGATTATTTTTTCAACTTGTATGTTTATCTTGTTTATCTTGAGTTGTAATTTTGCAAATTTATTTTGACATACCATTCTAATTTGAATGAGTGGGTTGTGGAGATTGTTCAGTTACGTTTTGAAATCGTAAATCGATCAATCTTCGGCCATCATTAACATTGTTAGATATCGGTTCAGTGATCCAGAGGTAAGTCATTCGCGCACAAGACCATAAGGTCCTGGGTTTGAATCCTGCAAGGTGCAGGAGTTGTAGATGGGCACTACTACTGATGAGTCATAATACCAGGACGAAACGGCCGTCCAATTGTTAGGATAGTCATCCAATATCCTAAGAGAATTTTTGGTCAATTCTTATTGGTTAATTCCCACTAGTCGATTTTACGGTCGTACTAGATATCAATGTCACGTGCTCCAATGTTGTTTCTTATTGGTTGTCCTGACTGTCAATGTCACGTGTTCAAATGTTGCTTCCTAATGGTCGCCTTAACTGTCAATGTCACAGACTTCGATGCTGTTTCCTATTTGACCAAACTGTATAAATACGTATTGTCTGTAACGTTTTATGACCACGAGCAGGACCCGGTCTCGGATCCCTAGTCCGGGATTCTGATTCTTTTCTTGATTCGGAGCTCGTACTTTCTGGATGCTTGTAGAATACAGGTTCTACTTCATATCAAGTCTTCTTCTTTTAACTAAAAATATAGAGGTTGGGATAATCGGATTTGAGTAGCATGTCGTGTCACCGGATCCTCGCTCTCGTATTCCGACTAAGGTATATACTCTTAATAGTTCAAGTATATCAAGTTGACGTGTTTACGTGCAGGTGTAACACCAATGCTAGAAGGTTTCCAATGGTAGTCTAACATTGACCGATTATTCATGAACACTAATTTGAGTGGATATTACAAAAAAAAAGGATCATTAGAACGTTGACTTGTGTTACTTAATAAAATGATGCATTTTATTTGTAATACCTCGGTCTTAAAATATGCATCTTTCAATGAAATTAATCTTTTCAATGAATAATTTGAACTTATAGCCGACAGCTGATGAGAGAATGTACTAGAAATATTGTTCGTCTCGCTTGCAACTTGAATTCTGATAGGAATTTATTCACTAAAAATAGGAAGCTATGTCAATTCCTGATTGAAACGTTATAATATACTAGCATATTGACGAATTTACCAATTATAGAAATATATATATATATATATATATATATATATATATATATATATTAAAAACCACTCACATCAACAGCAAAATATGCAGAAACAGGTTTATGATCACTGCAAACGAATTCAGGGTGTGAACGATAAACGATTGGTGTACAACCGTCACCTGACCATATAATACGATCACAGTATGATGGAACACGATTTTTGTCACTGTTTGAAAATAAAAATATCAAAGTTTTAACAAGGCAGTTTATTTTAGTAAAACATAAGTTGACAGAAATGATGCATTAATCAGAATTTTAACATCAGGACTTCTAGACAGAGAAAAATATTTTCTTTTGTGTGTGTATATGTTTGACTCAGACATTCTACTACATTTTAATAATAAATGAGCAAATGATTTAATTTATTTATAGCAAGTATACCGAAAAATTGCTTTGATAAAAATATTGATTTTTTGCTCATAACTACATACATTGAGAGTCATGTTGTTAGATTTTCTAATATACACCTGCGTTCAACAACAACTATATACCTAATTATGGAGATGGAGACAGACATGAACAGAATGAAAGAAAGCAATTGAACGGAACTGAAAATGAGGGCTCAAGACAGAGTAGGTTGGAGAATGCCGGTCGGAGGCCAATTCTCCATTGGGGGTAACTGGCGTAAATAAGTAAGTAATTAACTGAACTGATACTGTAGTGAACGAGAACACAGGTGGGGCAACCGAATTGTATTTAACGAAAATTACAGAGTTACTCAGTAAAATCGGAAAACCATATCGTAAATCGTTCATTTGCAAAATATCAGTTCATCATATCGAACTGGACTGTTCCTGTTGCAAAACATCAATCCATTGTCACTATTCATGCGTTTCATACAAATTCCATTGTTTTCTAACTCTTCCTTTCTTGATCTTCCCCCATCTTCTGCTGCCAGACATTACGTTGACACTCACGTCATATACTACTTATAAGTAGCTCACACCACAATACCACCAGTTAGATAAAGATAGAAAACCGTTTACCTTGACCGTATTGATACCTATTGCCAGTGGAAAGTTCTTAGCATAACAGAAACTCGTGTGTGATCAGTCTCAAGTATTTGTCCTTTAGACATTGCGATCATACTCCCAGGTCATTAAAAACACAACACCCTTTGTTAGATACCTTAAAGAAGAATTTTCTTATGATATAAGTAACGAGAAAGTGATTATCGACTATACAGCTCTAACACCATACAAAGTCGCTTCTACTGCAATAATTATCATAAAGATCAATAAAAAGGATTACATTTTCTTCCGGTTCGCCGAACTTTAGTAAACATAACATTCGATGATTTAGAAAACAACAAGTACGATGCTTGTTACACTTGGTCGAAATCCAAATAAATAATTTACTGATCTTTTTCCCAGTTCTATTCAAAGGGTCACAACATAGCGCCACAGTGTATTCTTCTCAATATGCAGAATTCGTTTCACATGTCACTTAGAAAGGTAATAGTTTTCAAAAAAGAAATTTAAAAACGAGCTAGTTAGAGATTGAGATCACAAAATAGATAATGAATCACTGAAAAGGATAATTATTTGAATAAATCTGGCACTCGAAAAAAGCAACAACAACAAATATAACTGAGTGTACAACTTACCTAGAATCATAAACATTGGAATTCATATCGAATTTGTAAGTTGGTGCGAAATTGATAACAGGTTCATGAAAACCATCAAATAAATTACGATTTCCCATAAGTTTTAATAACTAAAACAATGCAGAAAATAAATTGATATACGGTTAAAATACTCTAATCTGCGTTTATTGAATATGATGTATATATGAGTGTAAACATTCACAAATAATACTTGTCAGTGTGTTAGCATTATCCGGATGTTGATATTCAATATAGGATATCTGATAAATATCGGTCATCATAGGGTTGAGGATATTGTGGAGTTTCATTGGATTCGTGAGTCGATCAATGTTAAACCATCATTAGAAAGCTGAAACAATGAATAGTCATTTTGTGCTGATATATGATTTCATCAGCAGTACGCATTCACGATCGCACAAGTGGGAGTCAGACAGAAGGTCGTGGGTTTGATTCCTGATAGTAGGGTCGTGAATATATATATATATATATATATATATATATATATATTTGATGAGTGACTTCGATATGTACTTCTTATTCCTTAACTTTGATAATAGTTGGTAAGTTTACTGACAACCTGTTAACTAAAATTAACTAGATTACAAGATTCTTATTTTAGAAAGTAATGTTACTTTTGTCCACCACTTTAACAAATAAACGATGAGATGAATAATCACTAATATACTGAGACAAAGGACAATAACACAACCAAAATAGAAATAAATCGTATGAAAGCGATAAGACTTCAGATACACCCAAGTGAAATGAGGTTAGTTCTCGATACTGGCTAGATAAGATCAAGTGATAAGATCATCTATGCGTATTTCGGAAACACAGTAAACACTGATAGGACGAGATTCTAGAGCCTACATAGCAGCGGTATTTATTGATCGATTGGATATCAGGTTTGGACATAAAAACCTTTAACAATTGATTTGAAAAGCGGTTTCAGGAGATTAAGAATAGCATCTCGTACGATCTTCAAATGTTAACACTGGTAGCACATGTAGAAGAGGAGGAAAATCGAAAGTGATGGTTTTGTAAGGAAAGGAGAAATATTTAGTAAATAAGATGAAGTATGATCATGAAAGAGGTTATTTCGCAGGATGTTTGAAATATGAACATGGTGAACATGGTTTTACGATTCCCTGAACTAGAAAAAGATATTTCTTCTTCAGATACATGGAAAGGAGACTGTTTTACGTTTTTTTTGATGATCTGGGAGCATATCCTCAGTGTCAAATGGACGACTGAAAACGATCACAAAGAGCTTTTTGCCGAGTAGTTTTAGGCAGACATGCTCATTACTTTTACAGATTGAAATCATGAATCCATGATTGTTAGACCGCCATTTCATTTATCGCTACACCCCACAGGGTTGAACTCTACTGGTCAAACCACAGTTATTTTGACAATAATAGAGAGTCAGATATATATCCAGAGTCGAGTGAAGAATACTCGTCCGCCGCCTACACTCCAAGTGAGGTAACAACCGTCGTAAGAAAGTCATGTACATGTTGCTCAGCACGGATACAGAAAGTTCGATTGGTTTTTGCCTATTTAAGTCATTTATGGAGTAGGCGAGATATCCGTCTGTAGACTAAAGGACGAGTGTACTGTGCAGTAGTTCACTCTGTTCTCCTATATGGATCCGAAACATGGCCGGTAAGAGTAGAAGATACTCACAGGTTACTAGTCTTCGATCATAGATGTCTTAGAAGCATTGCTCGTGTATCGTGGGACAATCGAGTGAGCAATGCCGTAGTTAGGAAACGAGTTCTAGGTAAGGATGGCAAACCAACAGATGAAGTAGTGAAACTTCATCAGTTGAGGTGGTTGGGATATGTGTTACGAATGCCCGACCAACGACTGCCTCGACGAGCTATGTTTTGTGGTTCAGGAGTAGGTTGGAAGAAGGCTGGGGGCGGCCAAACCAAAACATGGCACAAATCCATAAAATCACTGACTAGTGGACTGAGTCATGTTGGTATATGCAGACTACCTGGTTGGGGTCCGCGAAACGATAGTAACCGATGGTTAGAGACCTTGAATGACATGGCTAAAAATCGTTTGTAATAGCACAGGTGCATCCACTCGTTGTTCTCTCAAATCCTAATATTATGGATTCATCAACACCTCTAGTTTTGTCTTTCTAAATTATACTTCTTGAATAATATCTTGGAACCCTAATCTTCTCTATTACCAGTAGTACTCCTACTATCTCTACCACTATGGGATTTGAATTGACAATTGCGTCTTTGTGCTAATGTGGTATGGCAACCTGAACTGATGTACTTACGTACGAAGTTCTACGTTGCATCTGACTGACTGACTGACTGAATGTACAGGTTGTCTCATCATAAATTTAACTACTTGAATATTAACCTGTTTTTAGCAAGTATGTTTTAATTATTTTGTTGTATTATTGTGTTGAGGATAACTGTTGAAGTGTCATGTGTCAGTCGTCTGGTATACTAAATTCACAAGGATACTCTCACTGTTCATGATTAGGAATTTCCGTAGACTAACCAGTCGTTTGGTATAAAAAAAAACTAGGATTTTCTGAATTAAATTCATGTGGCAACTAGCACATCAATTGATGACAGTTAACTGACATCAAGCCAATCATATGTCCTAGTTACTCCAAACTATGAGGGTTCATAGTTCTGTTTAATTACTGAGTGCTAAACTCTTCTTGAAATTCTAAACCTAAATTTAGCAACTTCACGAAACCAAAAGTTTATCATCTCTCTTCATGCATTTAATGTTGAGATATGTATTAATTCATTGTGTCCCCTCAAACCCTAACCTTCTGAATTCGTCAACATCTCTACCATTGTCTTTCTAAATTTATCTCACTGAATTATACTTCTCGAATCATATCTTCGAACCCGAAATTACTGCTAATACTTCTATTATCGCTACCACTATGGGATTTGAATTGACAGTTGCATCTCAGTGCTAATGTGGTAATGGCAACCTGAACTTATGTACTCATGTACAAAGTTCTACATTATAACTAAACTGAGTAATGTATAAAATCAATAACCCCATAATATTCAATAAAACTATTGAGATGAAAAACAAAACGATTATCAAATAAAATAAAAAATGACTAACTTCATCATATTTCAGTATAGAAGAAAAATCTTTTGCGAAAATAGATTTACGAACAGTAGGTGAATCCAAACCACTAATACGATAATTTAAATCACCAAATACGAAAATGATACTAGATAAGGGATGTAAGAGAAAACACAAAGTCGTAACTATGATTAACAATTAGAATAGGTAAAAATTAAGAAATCAGGAAAATAATTTACAGTTCATTTATTATTATACTGAGAGAGAACAGAGATATGAAGTCATTTATTTACTATGTAAATATATGTGTAAATGTGGTTTTATGTTTATGCTAGATTTGTTTTCAACACGTAAATATTAGTAAAACTAAGCAACTAAATATTTATGCGTCATAAATAAATGAATGAACTTGGGTTCGGTATAAGATACTGTCTGCATGTCCGAACTGAAGCAAATGGTTTTCCCTCGGCCTTTGACATGCAGATCTTAGTCACTGGGTGGTAGTAGAGCAATGTAACCAGACGTAGTCCCAAGGTAGCCGATGACCAACAACAGGGCCATAAGTATCATGTTCCCTCAGGATTCTTGAACCCATCTTCACTATTCGTTTATGGTCGACCGTACTAGGGTATTTGAGGGCTTTGAGGAGGCTAGAAATATTGTCCAAACTGAATTAGACAAATTAAGGCTTGTACTTCAAACCCTGTGAGTGTCTTAATCATTAATCTACCGTTCTAGCTGCAACAAAGATAGGAGTACAGACATTGGCACAAATGATTACTATACAATGTATGGGATTCAACTGATCAGTTGTTAAGGTTACATAAACCACTTTATCCTGAAGACTAGAGTTTTATTAAAGTGAGATATTATACTCGTCTTTCATTTCCCCGTTTTCCTTCAATCTTTTGTTCCCTGATGTAAAATATGGTAAATTGAAAAGATGTCCCAGTTTCTACACAGTATATCACAAATCGATCCTGACTGACTGTACCAGATAGATGGAGCACTTAAGTAACATGTTGAACTTTTATAAACAAGAAAAATGGAAAATAATTTCATGAAACATATTATCAAATATACGAAGTGCCATAAAAGTGATATGCTCGTCAATTAATATGCTTGAAACAATTACGAGTTCACCGTACTCGGTGAAAGTCAAAGATTTTTCGAGTGAGAAATGTAATCTCAAAGTCAAATGAGCAGCTGATGCGCGAAAACACAAAATATCCAAAATTAGGAAATTTTACAAGTGAGTTCTGGGGATCTCAATTCCCCAACAAAAACTTTATCTCAGAAAACATATTTCCATATGATTATAAAACAGTAATCCAGCGGGACATTTCTCTTAATTGTAAAAACTACAGCGAAAAATGTTATCAGATTAATCATATTGATGCATTCGTGTAAAGTTGATACTGTCAGGGATGATAATACATATTACTCATCAGCCTTCATTAAAATAATGACATTCAGTAATATTGATTAATACAACTTACATTATTGTTCTAAACAGAATCTTAAACACTTACTTAATGTTTACATTGTCAGTAAATGGTGTAGTTATACTGACTATATGTTTGACCAATAAAATCCAAGGACATGAACTGATAAACAAAACACGCTATATAGATTAGGTAGATTATGCATGACTAGCTAACAACGAATAATGTAGGACGAGCAGTTTATCCTATCTGAAGCTGAACAGAATAATATGTCTGAATCCTGTTGTCTAACTCCGCCAGTAGAACCTTAGGGGCTACTGCCGGTCCCAAGCCTGGATAAAGGAGGAGGGTTGGACATGGGGTTGGCGACCCCATTCCGTTGAAATCTAACTTGCCAAAAAAACGCTAACCAGAAAAAATAATTCAAACCATTTTAACTCTGCCCTGGGAGTTGGAAGAAGAATTATGACGTCTCGTGATGAAAGCCGAGTTGCCTCGGAAGTCACGGGGCCGATGCCTCTTCTGACAACCAGAGCAACCATTTTTTTAGGTACATGGAACGTTCGTACATTGTGGGAGAC